TCATAATACTGATACCCATTTTGAAACGAAACGTCTGCTTTAGCTCTGAAATGTAATCTAATCATAATCTTGAGAATGTTTGCAATACTCTCTAATAATAATTCTTTATTTTTTTTTTTAGCTTAAAAGTAAAAGCTAAACAATATCTGGTTTGATCTTGGTTTTGGCCCCATAGGCCGGTTCTGAAACTGGAGACTGGAGAGAGCCTCAAGACTGGAACGGTAGCCCCCGAGCAGCATTTAGAGCGGTGCACATAACAATTTTTTTAAAAAATTTTTTCCGGTTTGTTTGTGGTTTTGTTTTTATTACAGCATAGATTTGTGAACGAACCGGTTTTCGGGTTTCAGCGTTTCTCGTATAAATACCACAATTTATGTTGTTTTTTAGCATCGGCGTGTGCTATTGTTGGGGCCAACAAACAAACATTTGCCGGCTTATTTGGAACGTGTTTCATATATGCAGGATAAGCTTGGGGGGCTATCGCATCTAATTTGAATATGAAATGGTCATACATTTTCACAGAAACCGAAAGGCATCTTAGTGGTGATTAGTCCTAAAGTTACGATGGATGATTAATACCAGAAACAGAAACAGAAACCCTAATGGTGCCAAGACGATGGCTTACTCATCCAAGATTTCAAAGGAGGTGGAGTCGGTCTCCGTTCTACGAACACAGAAGGTAGAAGAAAATGCAAATCCAACCAATATATCAACAAAAAGGTATTATTTTTATACTCTATTATTTTTTTTTTTTGTGAAAAAAACCAGTTCATATTTCTACCTATTATTATCATTTTGAGAAAAAAATACCACTAATATGAAACATGAACGTTAGATGGGTCAAAAAAAAAAAGAAAAAAGAAGTTTTAAGCTTGATTCGGTTGCGAGTCAAGCAAAGCAAACACAAATCAGAGAGTTCCAAAGACAACTTCTTGTTTCCTTCTTCAACATTCCGGTTCTGGGAGGGTGCAGGGAGCCACAGAGAGGGGCCGAGGGGCAGGGCTGCTGTAGAAAGAGACGACGATGTCGGTGGAGAGACCCAGCAGACGTAATTAATGATCCCGAAAACGTTGACGACGGCAACCAGCAGCAGCAGCAGCAGCCGCAACCCATGAAGGGGCAAATGCATGTTTTTTTCACAAAAATACCAAAAAGTGGAATACAGGTGCGGATTAAGGTCATCATGGAGCTGAGAGCCCAAAAATCCACCGCATTTTAAATATGTATTTAAATATTTTTTATTTTTATACATTGATAATTAAATACAACGTTAAGGACTAATCTCAATTAATTCCACTGACTAATGGTTAAAAATTCTTGCTTCAGATTGAGATATTTCCTAAAATAAATATTTCTTAAAAAAATCCCTCTGATTAACCCTCTTATTGAATCATAATTTTATGCGTTTATCAGAGTGATTCACTGGAAGTGCTTAAAAAAGGACTTGCTGCTTATCATGCTGAATGGTATTTATATACAAATCGCAAGACTCTGACTTCTGGTCCGCGACTGGATGCCATAAGAAGAAGTTGTACTACAACTCGATGCTTATAGTATTTGTAGAATGCTGAGGGGCGAGTCTGCACGACAGGCAAGACTTACTACAAGATACACAACAACAACAACAACAGCTAACGCAACATGGAAACCGGTTCGGGATAACAACAAAATTACACATCATACTCTATGTATGTGTGTGTGTGTGTGTGTGCAGCACAAAAATCAAACAAGAAGACGAAGACATTATAACAACAGATCTGCCAGGGGGCGTTGGGGCAATGGAGAAGGAGGAGGAGAGACCTAACCAAGACCCACACTTACACTCACACATAGACACCTTCCTTCCACCTCTTTTCTTTCCATATTCTTGAACTTCAAAAAGTACAACAAAATCGAACAGAGACCCAGCAGCATAAAACAAATAAAAAACAAAAAACCAACAACAACAACAGGCCAGTCAAGCTGTCAGACAGCTACTGGTGTTAAACCGTAGTACATAGTCGTAGTAGTAAGCACACACACACACAGGCACACCTACTATATACTATGCCCGTACAACACTGCGTATACGCCATGTCTGGCTGACAACGCAGTCAGCGTCGTCGTCGACGTCTCTTCTGTCTCTCTTTCCCTATCGTTTTGCTCAGCTCACTGTTCCCCCATCTACCCCCACTACTTCTTATTCTTCTCGTTCTCTCACTCTCTTCCACTAATGTTTTGTGCTTTTCTTCTTAAAGATTTCGCGCACGATCGTCATCTGTGCAGGTCTGTGCAAGAATGGGGAGTCTAGAGGGCCTGAGCACTAGGTCTGGGGTTTTGGAAGGAAAATTAATCTTAATTTTAATAAAATTCATAAAATAAATCCATAAAATAAAAAAAAATATAGTTAGGAATTATTAAGAAAAATAATATTTTCTTTCTTAAGACATGTTTTTATAAAAAATTTTTGAAAAAAAGTTCCACTCTACAAGTCTCATTAGCACTAAACTATCTATAAGATACTTTTCAAAGTTCTTATCCTTAAAATTGTAAGACTTTCAATACAACTTTATGAAATATTATTTAATATAATACTATATATAGTCTACTAGAGTGATATTTTTATATTTCAAAGCTTTACCAGCAGCCCCATTTTAAAGACCATCCACTCTACAAATGCTTTTCTCGCCAGTCCCTGTTTATATTTCGATCTAGGCATGACTGCTGGGGGATTGGGGCCTGCCCATCTGCCCTTCTGTGTTTTTTTTTAATGCTCTACATGATCTCGTTTTGTTTCGGATTTGGGCAATTTCAACTTTTTGATGGATTGTTATTGAAGTTGGCTGTTTGTTGTTTGCAGCTTTTGTGGCTTATTTCAACTTTTTAATGGTTCTTCGCTCGGGTTTCTGTTGGTTATGTAAACAAAAGATCTTTAGATACACAAGCATATATCATTTAGTCCGAAACGAAGATGATATTTTCAAGGTTCTTACAAGATTTTCTTGGAATTATGCCTAAGGCTGGAACTAATGACATATAGTGGCCTTAAGTTATTAGATTATGAAACCATTAAGCTCTGGAGACTTCCTCATCAAACCAACACCACCTCTATAACTGATTTCTTTCAGTGCTTTGGCCTAATTGAGAAACTAGCTTCAATACCAAAATTGGCTCATTGTCCTGGCCATAAAAGGCCAACACACACACACACACATAAAAAGTAAAAAAAACATAACTAGGCAAGTCAAAACGTGCCATGCCTCGAATAATGAAGTTAATAACAAAAATGAAAAAGAAACATTGCCGCTAACGATAAACCAAATTTGTACAAATAAAATAAATTAATAAACAATCAACGTGCGCACTTTTTCTGCATGTGTGTGTGTGTGTGTGTGTGTGAGTGCGTGCGGTTGAATTACTAAGTTTTTGCCACCAAAGCTGGCTTGCCATTATATGAAATATATACATTAACCCCCCCATATACAATATATTATATATGGCAAAGTCACAGTCGTAGGCATAGCAACGGGTTTATTTCTGTACAAGCGGGCGTTTCGTTAAACCACAGAACTCTTGGCTGCCAATTAGTAACAAAGTTCTGGTTGTTGATTAATTATTCTATTCTAAAAACAGTAATATGTATAAATGGTTATGGGGGCGAATGACAAAACAATACTCATTGCAAATATATATTTATAAAAATTAATCTGGGTAATAATGGTTAAGGCCACGGAATGGGAGAAATCTACAATCTACAGTGGTTTCTCGTCGACTGAATGGTATTAAAAGATCTTTCTTATAGGGTTTTTGAAAGGATTTTTAGATGAGAAGTATTTTTAGTATTTTTTATTGTTTCTATGAGAATATCTATCTATGAGATCTATGTAAAAGATCTTACTAATAGGATACTAATCGAATTTTTAAGGGATTAACTCAAGATAGTTTTCAGATGCTAATTGAATATGGTACTAATAGACCTTCCCTATAAAAGGATTACCTCAAGATAAGATAGTTTAAACAATTTAAGCATTTTATTCTGGTATTTTTTTTATAAGACCCCCATTATTTTTCCCTATTTCCATGCATTATTTTCCACAAAGCTCTTGTTGTTGTTGCCTCCAAGTGCGTCTAGTAATTTGCTGATAATTATCAACAAATGCGCGCTCACGCACATTCAAATGTAAATTAGACAAGAGAGCTGGAGTGGGGGGGCTGAGGAGAGGTGGAAAAAAAGAGAGAAATTGGGGCCGGACGCATCATTTGAATCTCATTCGATGCAGTGAGTGAGAGTTTTGTTGCTAATTACACTACTACAGCGAGAGTTTTTATTCCAGAGTGTGTGTGTGTTGGAATGGGGGGGAGAGGATTAACTTCAGTTAGTAACAGTGGAATTTTCTCAACTCGTTTATTTTGCTAACAAATCATGATTTCCATAATGAAACTAACCAAAAACCAGTAGAACCGATCGCTAGCTAATTTCAGTAGCTAATTCGGATTACAAAAAACAAACCGCACACAGAACACTAATTTTAATTTGAATTTCAACTTTTCGCATTTAACATATCAATGATAAAGAATGCACGCAAACACTCACATGCTCGAGTCTCAAAACCTATTGTTTTGTTTTTTGTTGTTGTTTTTTATTTTTATGAACAATATGATGTGGAAATGTCGGAGATCATTGTTGTTAAAGTTTTTTTTTAATGTAAATTTCGAGAGCAACAATAGCAAAGGCTAAAAGAATAGAATTTCTCGGACTAGCGTCAACAACAAACACATTTTACGGTCACACTAATTCCCATCGGGAGAGACTACGGAGTGTGTGTGTTGGTATGTACATACATATGCATGTGTGTGGCTGTGGAAATGAATGAAGCGCTGCTGCTTGCCAACAACGTAAAAAGAAGCAAGTGTAAGAGTGAGAGAAGACGAATCGAGAGGGGCAGGTGACAAGGGGGAGCAAAAGAGAGGGGATGCAAGAAATTTTCCAATTGGCATGGGGTAAAAGAATTTGCGCTTACCGTTTTTACTTATTGACGTAGTCCGTGCGTATCGGTGTGAGTGTGTGGCTGGCGGGCGAGCTCGTGTGTGTGCGTGCTTCTCTTTTCTAGACCTTTTTTTTCCTGTTTTGCTTTGTTTTTGTTATGCAAAAGGCATAAAATATTGGTTGTACACGTTAAAAACACAAACACTTTAAAATGATTCAACTCTCGACGGCTGCTGCGATGCACTGCTAGCGAAAGAGTACATTATGTATTCTGCTGCGAAGTTACAACTTTTCCACGACCCAAGGAAAACGCGAACGAGCCAAAAGAGCCGTGAAAAGTGTTCATTCATTGAGGAAAACCGAACTGAGCACCCTGCATGCTATTCTCTCTCCCGCGCGAGCTCCATCTCGTTCTCTCTCTCCGTCTTGACAGTGTTGCCAGCCCCATGGCGAAAAGCCAGCCAATGCCAATAAGCCGAAATGTAAAAAGATTCAAGAATAAATTGGCTCTCCTGGATTGGTAATATTTAAATTAGTTTGGGCCAGATTAATTATTAAATTGAGATCCACTGACGTCGCCTGGAAGTTGGCAACACTGCTCTCCGCTCTCAGACCGCCCCCTCTCTTATTCACACGCGCATTCGATTTTCGATTGTTGTTGTTTTTATTTTGTTTTTTCATTAATTTAATATTTTTAGCAAGTATCTCTACCGTAAATAAAAATCAAAAACCAACACCAGCTGAATGTGTTTCCCGTTTCGTTTGTTTTCACACCCACGCCTGTGTGCGTGTGCGTTGTATTGCAAACAAATTCCGTTGGTTTTGGTTTTTTTTTTCGCTCGCGAGGAGTAAAACTAGCCACGAACCGTTTTATTCACAAAATCTTATTTTCGTCCCGTTTCTAGTTTAGAACGAGAACTAGAAAAAGTTCACGATATTGTGTCCACCCGCGACATGTCCGCTCAGTCCGAGTGAAAAATTAATTTTGAAAACTAATTTTACGTTAACAAAATGCTGCCACGCCACGGAGTACGGCGCACCGCTCAGCTTCGAGTTCCAATTGGGAAAAAAACACTGAGCACCGTTTTAGGGTTGTTGATAATATATCAATCTATCGGTATATCGATATATTTATATATTTTTTAAATGATATATTTATATCGTGATATTTTATTTTCCCAAATATTGTAATCGTATCGTATTTATATTAATATTTCTTGATATTTTTTTTCTTCGTTGATCTGCATTCTAAAGCATTCCAGCGTTCCCCTCGTGTCTATCGATGTGCTTATCGCTAATTACGAAACCCACGATAGTTGGTCACACTGATATTTACCTTTTTTAACTGAAAATATTATTAAATCCTTTCATACAATTCGATTGTTAGAATTCTAAATATTTTTTTAGATTTAAATATAAAAGAGTTGGCAGCACTACTCGGCCTTTATGTTAATCGTTATGTCTGTTAACCGTTTCTGTTATGAGAAGATTGCGGTTAACAGTAAAAATGGAGCGCTCTTTTTAAATCTTAGTAATTTTTTATATTTGCGATATAATTTAATATACGCTTATTGAACTTATTAAATACCAAAGAAAAATTAAATTACGTTTTTTTTTATTAATTTACTTAGTATTTCAAAGCATAGTAAAGCTAAATTTGAACATTCTGTGATTTAGTTGGTTTTTCAGTTTGTCTGGCAGCATTGCCACTGTGATAATAAAAACTTTAGTATTATTTCAGTTATATTTAAAAAATTTTATAATCGGTTAGGTATTTTATTAAACTAATTAGTTGAATTGAAAGTATGTTTTTTTGTTGCATATGCTTAAATTCATAATAATAAAAACATACAAAGATAACAGCTGGCTTTAAATGACAGTGGGGCAATGCATTTTAATTTTAACCGCCAATTTCGAAATGGATGTTAATCTTAAATTGTATTTTTTTAATGCTTTTCAGTGCTGAGTGGATTATTAATGGATACACTATCTAGCGGCCAAATGAGACCTGTGTGTGGGATGTTGGCTTGAAAATATGCGAAGCATTCATCAAAATGGAGCTGGAACTTTAGAAATATGAAAACCGCGCTATGTGACCCGTGCACCTGCTGCCGCAGAGCGACATAAATTACGCATACGTCGTGTTAGCCGTGGGAAAACATATAAATGTGTTTGCCGCCTCCTTCCACAATAACCTGGAAAAAAACATATTGTTGTACCTTCTGCTGCTATTGCTATTATTGCCATAACTTTAGACTTTTATGAGTCTAAACTGGAGCACCTCCTCGTCATCAAGAAAATTTAACACTTCAAGTTTAATGACGCGAAAAGCACAAAAACATTGCTTTCAATTAATCAATTATTTAGGAAGTGGTAAAAGAATGACTTCATTGGTAAAAATAGCTCACTATTTATATATCTTTTCATTTTATAAATATCCTTAACCATTAAACCAAAAATCAGTTGAATTCTTTAATAAAAATTATGGTTATAAAAATGAAAAGTTTGACTTTTGTCGTATTTAAAATAATAATCCTAATTTATAGCACCTGTCATCAAGTTTTTATGTTCGTTCTGCGTGTGTGCGACTGAAGCTTTGCAAAAAGTAATTTGTAAAATTTGCTGCCATAAAACATTTATAATAAAAAGGTGGAAGGCAAGTGTCAAGCAAGAACTCACCTCTTTAGCCCTGGCATACACATTTCTCGCATTTAGTTTGTAATAAAAAGGAAGCATTAAAAACTAATATTCACTTTCAAATCTGTCATTAAGAGGGGGTGAGGAGCTATTAAAATTTGGTTTGTGGCCTGAGGATTTTTAATGGCAGGTTGGGGAGTTTTGGATAAAAACAGGCTAATAGTGATAGCCTTTTTATATAAATATTCTGATTTTGATAGGGATGTATTTAGTAAAAAATTCATAAAAAATCTGTAAGTTATAAAATAAAATTAATAAGCCAAGCACGGGAAATGTCAACATTCCTCTCCACTTTAGTGCTCATCAAAATGATTTAGGAAATTTAATGTCTGCTTAAATGTTAATTAATTATGCCGGGAAAGCTCATTTCGTTACACAAGCTCATACAGCTACATGCTTGTCTGAAAATGAAAATAATGAAATTTTCGCATAAAACTTTGGATTTCATAAAAGAAGAAAAAAAAAAAAAAAAAAAAAAAAACAACCATGTTGCATGCAACACACATTGAACTGAGCAAACAAACTGGCTGGAAACTCCGAGGGTGTTGCGGTGGTTCTGTAAAAAGAGTTTCAAAATGACCAGCGGCCATTTTGTTTTTAGCTTTCGTTTTCTATTTTTCCGCCATTCTTGATAAATTTTTTTTGTTTCCGTGTTTTTGGGGTAAGTTAATTGAAATAGTTTTCGCAAAATATAAACAAACTTCAAGAGCAGATAGATAGTGCGGCTGTGGGGGGCGTGGTCACATATTTGATGTGTTCATGGCCAGAAACTTACATCCACGTTTTAAATTAATTCCCCAAGAACCTTGAATTTCCGGTTTAAGTTCACAAACATCCCACCCTCCTAATTTTGAGTATAAGGTCGAGTCTGGTTCTTCGTGGCATATTGCTGGCCAGACATAAAATTTTGATTTAATAACCGTTGAACCGTTGTGCTGGTTGCCGTAAAAATTTGAGCCATTAAAATTCTCCAGAACCGAAAATTCCACCCATAAACGAGAACCATTTAAAACGAGATGAATCCTGCAATCCTTCGGGTTAGATCGGGGTTCACTGGGGGTCTTAAAGTCTTTATTAGCTGTTAGCAGGCATTCCAAAAGTTCATAAATTTTGCAACGAACCATTTTCGGCCAGAGTAGGTAGTTTTTGGATTAATTTTTTCCTTCCAGGACCCGTTTAATCTTGAAATCCTTCAACTTTACTATTTCTAAAGTAAAGTAAATACCATACCCATAGTTTAATTTTATGTTTTTTTAGTTTTATGATTTGTTTATATTTCATTTTATTAATATTCAAGTTCATATTAATCCCTTAATTTAGTTTCTTGCAGTTTCTTCTTCACATTGTAATCTAGACGATTATAAGTTTTTGTTTTCTTAAAAATACAAATATCATACTATGTCTCATTCTTGTTGGCGACGCTTTAAATGGTTTTTAATCAGGAATGTATTTTAACTAAAATGGAAGAATTTTTAAATGTGGGGCACTTTATTAAATATTAGTTTTAAACAAATTGGCAGTTTTTGTTAGGTTGAGGTAACATTTAACATTTTTTTTTAGGAGAAACTAAAAACAATAATTGGTTATTATTGAAAAACTTGATAATTCAAAGGACCTGTTACCTTTATTCCACTTTTATTCAGTGTTTGACATAATTATTAAATTGTGTTTGAAAAATTCTCAACAAATTAAAAATTTTTCTTTTTATTTTTGAGATTGAGCTTTTTGCTTTGTACACAGTCCAAAAAAGCGTCAGTTTTATTTCATTTTTGAAACTTTAATTTAAATAATTAGCTATTTATTTATTTTCAATTAAGTATCCATTAACTTTTTAGGTTTTCTAATCTATTTTGAGCTTTCATTAGTTTTAGTTTAGGTTTACTTTTATATTCTTAATTTTTCATGTTTCTTTACTTGAAGTAAATAATACCACATGTTATGATTATTTTCGACTAGGATATTTACAAGCCACTAACAGGATACTGTTTCCAACAAATCGATTAATTTGCTGAAGAGTGGAAAAAATGCATTTGTGCTACACTTAATTGTTACATTGTATGTATTCTTTTTTTTTTTTAGCTTGATTACACTCATTCATACACATATACGTATATTATTTATATTCGCATATATAGTCCTCAACAGATCCCTGTGGACCAGCTAAACACCGATATTTAACTAACACTTTTCAAACTATATTTACAAGATTCTCTTAAGTGTCTAATTAGCTATGGAATCTAAACGTAATTTGTTTTCTTTTTCTATTGATTTGTTTCATTTTTCCTCCGCAAAGGAGACAAAATTTATCCTAAGACTAAACAGAGATTAGGTGCAGTCTAGTAGTTTTTTTCTCGATTTTTCCTTATTTTTTATGCTTTTTAGAATCAATCTGAAAAATTCTTCTCGTCGGAGAAACGCACATGATGCTGCTGCTTGAGCCTGCCAGCCCGCTTTCCCGCCAATGAAATTTTCACAATCCCGTTTCCGTGTCCATGCCCGTACCCGTACCCACTCCCACTTCCATTTCCAGCGTTTCCACTTCCGGCTCCGGTCGGATGACAGCTGCCGCTGGCGCTTCCAGGCGGCAGTGTCGGCGACATGGTAGCCGACGTGGTAGTGGACGTTGGCGAGGAGGAGTTGGTCCACTGCTCGTCGCAGGAGCAATATCCCCTGGCCACGTCGCCCCCCTCCAGGGCCAGGGCGTGCATCTCGCGCTTGAATCGGAGCTTCTTCAGCTGTCGCTGCTTGTGGTCGCCGGCAGAGATGCGTCCATCTCCTCCTGGCCCCAGGCCTGTCCCTCTCCACTTGGCAGCTGCATCTGCATCAGCTTCTGTCTCTCCATCCGCCGGTGGTGTCCCATTGAGTTGGCCGTCATCCGCCTGCTTCGTTGCATAGAACTCCTCGGGTGTTTCCGCTCGCAGAGTTTCTATGGAGCTGGAACAGAAAATTTTAGGGTTAAAGTTTAAAGTTTTCCAAATTAAAGTTTTCAAACTCATTAATCAAAATTTGAATGACATCAGATCAGAAAACTTAAACATTACTTTGGGAAATGCCGAAGCTTAGAAGTTTTTGTAGTTCTATTGTCGTTCCATGAAAAATTGAGAAAAAATCTCAAAAATATTTTGTTGGTAGGTTTTGATGCAGTTTTATAAAGATTCCTTTCACAAATCGTTTAAGGTATTCCGCTTAAGAATTGGATGATTATTGCCAGAGATATGGCCTTTGTTGGAAGCCATATTTTCGGTCCATGCATTTTCCCTATTTTTGAATGGGGTCCCACAGAAAAATTAAGAAAAAATCTCAAAAATATTTTGTTGGTAGGTTTTTATGCAGGTTTATGAAGAATCCTTCCACAAATCGTTTAAGGTATTCCGCTTAAGAATCGGATGAATATTGCCAGAGATATGGCCTTTGTTGGAAGCCATATTTTCGGTCCATGCATTTTACCCATTTTTGAAAGGGGTCCCACAAGAAAATTGCCAAAAAATCTCAAAAATATGTTGTTGGTAGGTTAGAATGCAGTTTCATCAAAAATCCTTCCACAAATCGTTTAAGGTATTCCGCTTAAGAATCGGATGAATATTGCCAGAGATATGGCCATCGCTGGAAGCCATATTTTCGGTTATTGCATTTTCCCCATTTTTGTAGGGAGTCCCACAGAAAAATGAAGAAAAAATTTAAAAAATATTATTTTGGTAGGTTTTTATGCAGATTCATGTAAAATCCTTCCACAAATCGTTTAAGGTATTCCACTTAAGAATCGGTTGATTATTAACAGAGATATGGCCTTCTCTGAAAGCCATATTTTCGGTCCATGCATTTTCCCCATTTTTGAAAGGGGTCCCACAGGAAAATTGGAAAAATATCTCAAAAATATTTTTTTGGTAGGTTTTGATGCAGTTTCATAAAGAATCCTTCCACAAATCGTTTAAGGTATTCCGTTTAAGAATCGGATGAATATTGCCAGAGATATGGCACTCGCTGTAAGCCATATTTTCGGTCCATGCATTTTTCCCATTTTTGAAGGGGGTCACCCAGAAAAATTGGAAAAAATCTCAAAAATATTTTGTTGGTAGGTTTTGATACAGTTTCATAAAGAATCCATCCACAAATCGTTTAAGGTATTCCGCTTAAGAATCGGATGAATATTGCCAGAGATATGGCCTTCGCTGGAAGCCATATTTTCGGTCCATGCATTTTTCCTAGTTTTGAAGGGGGTTCCCCAGAAAAATTGAGAAAAAATCTCGAAAATGCAGATTAATCAAGAATTGGATGAGAGAAGAATTGAATGATTTTTGACCAGGTTATAGCCTTTGGCGGAGAATATTTTATTACGTCGTTTGATTGCCTTCTGTTAATTAAAAAAAAACATAAGCTTTAATATTAGATCCAGAATACGCTAACTTTCTTAAAGTCGTTCGAAGGTCGATCTGGAATCCTTTACTTTCTTTTAACCACTTGGAGCAGATAAGCACCTACTTCTTCTAGCAGTTGCACTCACGACTTTCCCCATCTATTCCTGCAACATGCTGCATTCTGCATTCCCAACCCATAAGCATTTACGACACAGTGCCTGGTGAAAGTGCAGGCTCCATCATCAGACTTATGCATATCTGTCCTATCGGGAAGCTCGGCTCCATTTGGTCGCAGAATCGTTGATTTTGCGCCTTTCCCGGGGCCGTACACTTCATTGCGCTCTGTTGGCGCTTTCCACTTTTCCATTATGCTTTTGTGTTTAGTTTAAAAATTCAGCGGGAAGTCTTCTGCAGCAGCTGCATCCCATATTTATTCTGTTTTTTTTTTCTATTTCAAAATTTTTTTTTATGTTTTACTCTGGGAGAGGGTGTTTTTGGTTTACCAGAAAAGGTAAAAGGGTATATCTAAATTGGTTTACTTTTGCAAGGAAAAAGTTTTTAATTTAAGATTTCAAAAGCCTACAGAAAGTTTAATTCTTATTTAAGAAAAGAACATAAATTTATTTATATTATAAAATTGTATGAGGAATTACTAATGTTTATAAACCTAACCTTCAAAAGGTTTTTAAGATTTTAACTTATAATTTTAATATGCATCAAAAGTAGAAAAATTGTGAAAAATGTAGAGTAAACCCTAGTCGAACTTCCTAACCTTTTCTTCTATTTTTTATTTGTTTTTTTTTTTTTACTTGCTATGCGTGCCCATTTTTGCAGTACAGTAAACTCGGGCTGGCGAGAATTTATGCAAAGAAAGCGAAAAGTGCAAAGTAAAGTGCAGTTGCAAAAATGCGCGGCTGCCTTTTGTTTTTCGAGCTCTTTGGCCGGCAGGCAGCCAGGCATCCAGGCGGCAGTGGGTGCCCGTTTCTATGGAGGAAGAACAGTTAGTTTAGGGCGTTTTGGGGGTCGCGAGCTTGCAGGAAAAGGTATGAGGGCGTGGCAGCCCCCTTGCTGCACAGTTGAGCGCACAATTTGGCGCAGATTGTTGACTGGGGAGCTGGAGCTGTGTGGGCGGTGGCTGTGAGTGGTTCCAAGGGGCTCAGCCGCGGTGCCACCGGACGGTGCAACAATGCTGGCTTAGACTCTTGCCTTGCAAGATACCAAAACTAAAAGGAAAGAAGCAGTAGCACCAGCAAAATGAGTGAACTGAGTAATGCGCGTAATGCAAATCGCGGCTACAATGTGTGCAAGTTTTCCAGGGGGCCAGGTTGGGTGGGTTGGGGAAAATGCCAGCGGAGGAGGGGCTGGAGAAAGTGCAGAGACCATCATTAACGTATTACGCGCATGTTTGTGCAGCCACTTTGCATATCTTGTGCAGCTCAAGAGGGGTCTAAATGGCCATGGGAGGAGAAGGAATGGTGAAACCCTCCAAAGGGGTGGGATTACAGAACCCCTCTTGGAAAAAAATAAACAACACTCGAGTGACGGAAAATTGCTCAGGTTTGTAAGCTTTTTTTATTGGCAAGATTACCCGAGAAGTAAAAGGACAGCGAATATAAAAATTTAATTAGTTAGGCAGTTTAATACTAGAGATCTAGGAGTTATAGAAATTCTTATAAATTTCTTTTTAAATTTTATCAAAACCTAATGATATCTAGTACTGCTGGTGATCCTATGTCTAATCCCTTATCCACTTAACCCTCAACTCTCTAAGGCTGCCAGAAACTTGAAAGTTGTGTGCTAATTACTCAACACTTTTGGGCTCATAAGTGTCGGGAGAAGCGTCCTCTCCTTGTTGGGCTCAAACAAAGTCATGTAATTTTAACGCAAATGTTTGAAACTTCTCGCCACATCTCCAAACTTGCTGAATCCACAAGAAACCAGAACCAGCTGGCCTGCCCCTCGAGCCACAGTAAATATTCTGTTTGCAAAATAATTTCAAAACTAATCACTTTTAATGGCTGACAAGGAAACCGCATTTGGTGTGGCGGAGAAATTCAAGTTTAATTTTCGTTTATCTGCTGAATTAATTGATTAGGAATTTGTTAGGTGAACAAATGGACTGTGTTCTCCGAATGCAAACAAGTGATTTTCAATTATTCATGTGTGTCGAATTTATTGGTGAATTTATCAAGTTATTTGGGATGATTTTGTTTAGACTTCAAACTCCGTTAAAGTCTGCTTTGACCTCGTTTTAAAGACTTTTACCTTTGAAATAAAATTTAAGAAAGTGCCAGAAATATACACCAGTAGGGGAGAGTGGAATAAAGTGTAAGAAACTCACTGGCATTGGAGTGGCTCAAGGAAAAAGAATGTGAAATTAATGTTTATTGCGCTTTTAACACATATACACTTCGACACGCCCCCGTGTCCGGGTCTCTCTCTATATGTGTGTGTAACAGTGGGTGTGCTGCTGTGCAAGTGGGTGTAAAATTTACATAACAGTTGCCATTCGCCGTGGGTCCCTTTCACTTTAGCCGGAGGGCGAAATTGCATTTTCCACCGAACCCAGCGCCCCGAGAACACACCAGAAATGTTAATCAGCTAAAAGTTAAGGAAAGGAAACCAAGGCAAAGGCAGCGTAAAAATAAAAATAAAAACAAAAAAAATAAAGAGTATAAAGAAATGCAAATTTAATTGTATGCCAGGTGAAATAGTGTCCTGACCCACAGACATCATACATTCATGAGAACATGGCCAAGTGGCTGCAAATGGCCAGCAAAAGTGGCTATATAGAACTTTCAGGAAAAAAAATTGTTAGACTTCCACTTGGATAGGGGCTATTATTTTCCATTAACTTAAGTGATCTTGCTAATTATATAAAAACATTTTCATCATAAAATAGCATAGCATAAATGTTAATTTATTTAAAAATGTAGAATGTTTCATTCATTCCATTATTTCTCGTGGTTTTTTTTGAATTGCAATTACGAAACCTGGTTTTAGAAGCCAATGTAATTTTCTTGCTTTTTTACTTTTGGCCACATTGCAGTTTTAATTTGGTTGAGCTCGAATTTGCCGAGTCCGACATTGGGCTCATAATTTAGTTGGGCGCCCGGTTTCAAGTTGCATGCCACAAATTGCCTTGCACCTTGCCACTTGTTATGGTTTGGTCTGGTGGCTTCATTTTTAATTTCGTTTATAATTTCATTTCTCTTTGCTCGGGCATTAGTGCCTATGTTTTATTCGCAACTCTTTGGAACCCTTTCTCTCCAGCCCAAAGAATCCATTAAAGCTGCCGCGTTTTTCCAAACTTTTGGCCACCGCCCACTCTTTGGCGTTCTTCCATCCGAGTGCCTGCGACATTTGAGTCCACCTTGAACCCTGAACTCTGTTGTGGCGCGTGTTTTTATGCATATTTTTTTACTTACTTCTTTTTATTTATTTTATTTTTATCAAATAAAGGGGCAAAATTTTTTGCTGCCGCATGTTTGACATGCCGTTTGTTATTTTTGATCAGAGTCTGTGTTCACAGAAATTGTATTTTACCTTTTTTCGGATGTCGCATCACGACCCCTGCAAAGGGTTCTGCATGTTTATCATTTTTTGGCCTCGGATGGAGCACGGAAACATGTTTTAAAGAACTACCACACTGCATTGAACTTAAATTTGAAAAAATTTACTTCAACTTGCTTATGATTTTATTGTCTTTCCAGGTTGTTTATTAAGATATTTTAAGGAAAAAACCTCAACTATGTCAAAATTAACTATAGCTGACTATCTGTGCAAGGCCCTGACAAAGCTAGAACCGCCAACGGACTGGGAGGACATCCTCGAGTTCGTCCTGGCTAGCTTGAACTGTCCTTTCCGTCACAAATACTACACAAAAAAATTGACGCAGGCTCTGGAGGTAGGACTGCGCTTCGGCATAATACGAGAGATGAATAATAAATATTATTTGTATGAATATGCGAAGATAAGCTCGCGTGGGGAAATTACATATGAATTCGCTCCAAATCCTTTGAGCCCCGAGACTTGTATGGAAGAAGAGAGTACAGAAGAAGAGGATACGGAAGAAGAGAATACGGTAGAAGAGGATGTGGAAGAAGATGAAGAAAGCGATGAGGAGGAGAAGAAAGAGGCTAAGAAAATTAAAAGTTAAGACGATGGTAGACCATATGAACCTTAAAGCTTAAACTCCATGTTTAAACCCGTTTTAAATTTAAAAAAAATATAATCATATTTTTAAAGGTGTGTCAAAGTTAAAATAAAAAATATATTCCCTAAACTTACCCTGTTGATGACTATAAATCCAACTCAAAGACCGATACCTATCAGACGCGCATCTCGTCCATGGCGGCTTGGGGCACCTGTTGTTGTTGCTGCTGCTGCTGCTGGCCGCCCACGGGTGAGGCGGAAGTCAGGACCATGCCCTCGGAGGTGTGCGGATGCGGATGCGGATGGGAGTGGACCAGGTGGGGGGCGTGAGAGTGCGAGTGGGTGTGGTGACCCTTCGAGGAGCTCGGCGCACTGCTAACGCCGCTGCTGCTGCTGCCACCGGAGGGTGTCTGGTCTAGCAGAACGCCGCCGCCCACAGCCACGCCCATGGCCGAGTTATTGCTACTACTGTTAGTAGTTGTGGAAGAGGCGGTACGCAGCGGTGGGCGTGGCCCTCGTATGTGGTGCGTTTGCATCCCAGTAAGGACAGCCCCGTTGGCCTGATGTTTGCTCGACTGCTGTTGCTGCTGCTGCTGTTGGTATTGCTGGAGTTCTGCTGGTAAATCGTGGAAAAAAGAGAATATATCTATAGACAGGGTATGGGCTGGTAAGCTTCTTATGTGTACTTTATGCATATGTTGGCATAATGTTTATGGAGGAGCAGCAGCGGCAGTCGATTTGTAAACAAAAATGTCAACCATTAAACACACATTCTCATATCATCGGAGTTGGTTGCACTTTTTGTTCCTTTGAATTGGCAATGTAATGACATCGCAATTTCTCCCCAAAACCCCCCCCCATTTTTTTTCCCATTTTCCGACCATTTCTGATGTCGTTCAACTTGTCGCCTCGAATGCAAAAGCCATTGACGCGTCTAATTTTTTGATGCCACCAGTCGGTGTCTGAGCGAAACTAATTTGTTTGCCTTGCTGCTAAGCATCCAATGCAGTTTTATTGGTGAGTTGGCAAAAAATAGAGGACACAACTATACATATATTACCATAAATGGTAAAAGACTGTTCTCTCTCTTATCCATTTCATAATTCTTCAAGCTTTGAATAAATTATATTTGTGAATCCCTATTAATTTAGTAAGCCCACGATTTCCTCTTTTAATTTTTCTCCCAAGATTCTCTAGACTCCTTTGCTTGCCTTAAGCTTTCTTCATGGATATTTTTAATCATAGAGCTCCTTCTCCTTTTGAGCTTTGTGGAGTAAATCTTAAAAAAAGAAAAAACAAAATATTCAAAGAAATTTTCATTAGCCATTCCCTGGGCAAGATGTCCCTGGGCAACCTATAATCCCTTCCAAAAACAGCTTTCACTAATTAGAGGTTTAATTCAACAAAATACTCGATGGTCCGGCCAACAGAGCTGGCCAACCGAGGGTTGTGCCCTTTTGGTTTTTATGTTTATGACTGGGACTTTCTGGGGATTTGATGGCCAGCCTTTTTGCGCAAGTCAAGTGGCCCAATGGACTGGACCTAAGAGAGCATTCAGAGTCAAATGTACCGGATTATGTTTCCGGGCTTTGGCTAGTTAGAGTAGAATAAGGCAGAGATTTTCTTGGGATGAAGTAGAGATCAAAGTCGACCAGAGCCACCCTGAACTAAAGCATAATTTAGGCAATTTTTTTCATGTTCTGGCGTTTTTTTTTTTTGGGATTGCATATATAAGTACAAAAAGTCGACCTGGGAGCTGGGAACCGGGAGTGCTCATGCAATTTCCCCAAGGACAACAGGGGCCATCATTTATGAATATGAAATTAACAACGGTGCGTATGCGTAATTTGTAATGAAAGCTAAGCCAAACCAAACCATAACCACACACACACTCCGATTCATTCACCCACACATCCCGCAACCAAGTGGTGGCCGCTCGGTATGCAATAAATTTTCAATTTCCATAGTTTCCCCCGACTTTTTGCCCCACCGACACGCCGCAACGGAGCAAATCTAATTTATATGCACATCACTTATACGCAGTGCTGCAATTACAATGCAAATGCTGCAACAAATGCGTATAATGCGGCCCAGTCGAAATATTACGAAGAGCCGGCCAAAAAATCTCGCGAATAATAATGCAGTCCAAACTGCTCGCCCAAATTCCGCTCAACGGATGTTGATTAGTATGAAATGACAAGACCGGAAATGCCGTGCATAACTCACAAAAAGGGGAAAATAAAACAGAACTGCCAGCGGCACGGAGCACACTTAACCGCACGGTCATGAAGAGCCACTGCATAGTGGCCAGTGGTGGGTTAAGGATGGCATTGAGGGGTCACGAGAGGGGCGAAGGGGGGACGTGAGTGCAACCACTCGGACATGTGGATATTGTGGGTTTTGTTCACCCAACTAAGTGGACACACAAGTGCAGCCAATTGTGCTGTCCGTCTGTCCGTTCTGTCTCTGTGAGAGCACCAGAGTGTGTGAGTGTGTTAGTGTGTGTGCATGTGGATCAGGTCTGGGGTTAAGGGTTAAGTGGGTGGCATTAATGAGGCGGGCTATACTCTGACTCACGTCAATTTATTGCTGAATTTCAGCCACTTCCCTTCCCCATCCCAGTTGACAGTTGTTGGATTTATGAAAAAAAAACTATATAGCATACTTAGCAGCGCATGCGACAGGATATTCGTGGAGAAGGATATTCGTGGGAATTTATGGGCCGGAGATAGTGAAGTTAGTGCGGCCTAGCAGCTGCACTTAATGGTTGCAATCAAATCAACTTGTGATGGGGGGTGAAACGTGATTACGAGCATAAAGAGATTAGGTTTTCCGCGATATGTTTGAGGATATAATGGAATTATTTCATAACTTTCAAACTCCTCAGGTATGAATAGGGATCTCAAGGACTTGACACACCGACATAAATCGAATTTAAATTACTCCGATTTCTGAAATTCATTTTGAGACTTCGAGAACATTTCACCGTAATTAACTATTCGATTGCCTGAAACTAATTTCAAGTCCACAAGCAAGCCCCGAAGTCTATCCAGAGCCGGCATAATTGAGTAGAATCTTAATCGGATGCCCGAAAGCCTGACAAATGATTCGAAACATGCTAAAAGGCGAACCCCTTGATAGGATTCATTTGAAACCGAAATGGTTTTCAAATTAGCAATCGCTTAGCCGAACTGCCAAATGCCGGGCAGAACATTTAAACATGATTGCTGCAATAACAACGAAATCGACTCGAAGGACGGGACTGGGCGGGAAGCAGAAACAACTGGAGCTGCAGAAACAACAAATGAGCTTTGTGTCAAAGTCTAGATTAGCATACAATTTAGAGCATTTCAATCAAACATAAATCACAACAGCCAGCAACTTAAACTGGAACTGGAACTGGAACTGGACCTGGACCTGGACCCCGACCGTCTCAGGTCGAGGTCCTTGCGAAAGGTACGAAATTGTGCGTAGTAAATCAACGAGGAACAGAGACAGACAAAGGCCAGCAGTCAGAGAAGGATATACCAGGTATACATGTGTATAAATGGAGGTGGAAAAGAAAGGAAAGCAAAGCAGTTTGGGTGCCAGCAGTACAGTATAAAAAATCTATTTTTCAAAATGCAATCCAAAGAAATCAAACAGGATATCGTCGGGGATTGGAAGGTGGAGCCATAAGGGGTGGGTCCCTGTCCGGAAATTTATGTGCTTCTATTTAGCATTGAGTTAGAAGTTGCGAGGATGCGGAATTGAGCGCACGAACGAGCAAATATTAAGTATACGCCGCCGTGCACTCAAGCAGCTCATGCGTGTGTTTTTCGCATTGGTGTGTGTTACTGTGTTCGTGTGTGTGTCTGCGAGTGAGCAGCACAATTAAATTGGATTTATGGCGCGCATGATTGCAAAATGAAGTTAATGCGCATACAAATACAATCGAGCTGAAAGAAAAATGATTCTCGAACTTCTTCGATGCGAAGAAGATGGGCGGGCAGGAAATTGTACCTTGTTTGTCATGTCATCAATAATCGAGGAGTGGAGTAAATTGAATGAGCATATTAAAAAAGGGAAAGTACTATCCGGCACTCAAGGAAGTTCCGAAGGAAATAAAACTCCACGCCATCGACTACAATATATTTCAACTATAAGCTGGCTCGAATCATTTGATCTAAAAATCGGAGCGAAGCGCACAAATGAAATATGTATGAGTAGCCGGGTCGGGGGTGTCTGCAGATTTATGTTGGCCCGGCGTTGGGCGAGTTTTGAAAAATTTATTAGCCATCCCTGAATGCCCTTAGTTGGCCCAGTTTAATGCTAGTTTGTGCAATAGTTTGACACATTTGACAAGGGAAATGCTTCTAATTGATTGATGACAAATGGTTTTGGTAAGAAATCATAAATTTATGTTGAAATTTATAAAAAGTATGAAAATTAAAGGGATTTATTTTCCTCAAAAAAACTAGTTCTAAGCCTAGGCCATGCCCAGTGACCCTTTGCTTGAAGCAAAAAACTTTGACTGAAATCCTACTGACCACAATGATAGGGAATCTCTTCCACCACACCCATACCCCTTCCCCTGGGACAATAAAATAATATTGCCTTATCTAACTATGTGCGCAATGCACAACAACAAAAGGACAAATGGAAAAAAAGTGCGCCAACTATTTTCGATGAGGGATTTTCCGACGGTTTGGCGGTGGGGGATGGCAGGCTGGTATTATTTGTATGCCAGCAGTTGGCAAGAGCCTTTCGTTTTAGGGGGAAATCGTCAAAGCCTAGACGAAATAATAAAACCAAAGAAAGTGAAACGAAAACACAGAGGGGAATAAATAGGGAGATTCATGGGAAAAATGGGGCTGGGAAACCGCACACAATGTGACGGCATCGATGGCTTCGAATAATGTTTGGTTTGGTCTTCTTCCCATCAAGGACCCCCATTTAATTTTGTTTTTCCTTGTGTCCTGAGAACAAACGGCAAACATATGCTGATGGCATGCATGGGGGCTGAAATATGGTCAGAGTCGGCAGGGTCGGTTGGGTTTTTGTTTGGGGGGAGGAACTGGTTTGTAAATAGATTTTTCATCATTTTTTGTCATACGCGGCGTATGTGTGATAAACACTTTTTGCACTCTGTCTCTGTCTCTGATGCTCCTTGTGGAGGATTCCTGGGTCTCCTGCCCAGGAAAATTTCATAATAACATTTGTATGAAGCTGTTTATGTCCCGGTGGCTGAGGGAACTGCCGTTCTGCGGTTGCCTGCCGTTGACAATGTGGATGACAATCATGTCACGTCATGGATAAGGTGCTTTTCCTCCCATGTAGGTTGGATATATAAAATATATACTTGTTCCTGCCCCTCACGCTGATATACTCTTTGCCGGCTTTTTTTTTTGCCGTGTTTGGGGTGCTTAACAGGCAACTCGCGTTTGCCTTTTGTTTGCTGCCTTATTTTTATTATATTTATGCTGCATGGGGCTGCCCCATACCCCCTACTCTATACCCCATGCCACATACATGTCAGCAAAAATCGTTTACGCTTCATTGTTTTTACTCAATTTTGTTGATTTTTTTTTTCGCTCACTTGCTCTGGTCGCTTTTTTTTTGGTTCTTTTGTCTGAGGTCGTATTTTGTTGTGTCCCATTTTTGGGGCACCCTGCAAAAGTATACATCTGAATAAATTGAAAACTTGCATGAAAACAAAAAAAATAAACAAACTCAGATATGGAAGAGCCTCGCTTTGAGTGCTTAACGCTGGCTTCAAAGAGATCAAATCTGTTGCCTATTGCACACAATGTCTAAAAAATTGTATCAAAAATGATTAAGGCCTGGGAAAAGGCTGACTCGGGATTTTTATCGATTGAACGGACCAAAGTTTCCAATTCCCATTCATGTATGCACGAGGCCGCTTAGTTTTAAGTCTCTTTCTCTCTCTCTAATCAAAATTTTTGCCAAACAAAGTTTTTTTTTCCCCCCCAAGCATAATACGCCAAAATTCCGAATGCCCCAAAAGTTGCCGACACATTTTCCAATTCACTTTGCAAGTCCGTAAATTGAACGCTTAGTCTGTAAATTGTGTGTGGAAAGCTTTTTTCGAAATGATTTATGTGGGGAATGGCAAGAGGTATGGTTTGGTATGTAAGCCTGTTATAGAAATATTTAACTTTTAATCTGTTTTTATATGAATCATAGCTGTGGATAGAAAATAAATTGTTTTTGTGCCTAAGCATGGTATTATTTATATTGTTTATTGTATATCTCTAGCAGAGGGTAATATGGCTAAAGGTGTGCAACTCTGTGAAGGAGACATCTCCAACCCGTTGAAGTATATTTCTGGACCACCTAGTGAGTCGATGTGTATAATGATTTAAAGGTTTCCTCAAAATATTCGAAATTAGTCTTATATTAATTATAGTATTTTCTTTCTTGTTTTCTTTAATAAAGAAAGGGCAGAAGCCCAGCTGGGTTTTTGAGCTTGGCCGAGACTTGTGCACAATGGTGGGCATTGTGAAACCTATTCTTGGCCGATCAGGATGCTCGGCCAATGCTTCTTTCAAGGCTGTCAGTTTCCCATTTATTTTTCAACTTACTATAAAATGTATGTAAAGGCTTATGATGATTTAAATGAAACCTCCTTCAATAAATATTATTTATTTATTTACCAATATTCAAGATATTCAAAACTTGAGCCGGAAACAAATTTAAGTGAGAGGGACTTAACCTAATGAGGCATTTAACTGCCGCTCAACAATGTCAGCAAACTCACATAATCCACAGGCCTTGGCAAACACAAAAGCCACGGCAATGGCAATGGCAAGTCAAGGCAAGGGCAAAGGCCATGGCGACGGCATACAGCAACCGCCATAACTGTAATGTGCCACTTGAGTGCCTTAAGCGGACTGCCAGCCATCCAGCCAACGGCAGAGAACGGCAAAAATCTCAGAACAAACATTAATTACACAAGAATTCTCGACCAGACACAAACTACCGTTGACTTTAATATTTATAGTCTCTTCTCGAGGCCAGGAAGGACGCGCAGCCAGGAAGAAAAATTTGCTGCTTAAATAAATAACTGACGCCGGACCAAAATTATATATATACCGACGTGCCGAAAAAAAAAAATATTTATGCAGAGAAGAAAATTGAGCTGGATGGAGATGCTGAAAATATGCGCCCACGCATAATTATATGAAAATTCGCAATAATTATAAATAATGCACAGAGCGCTCAAAATGCCAGCAGAAAAGCACTCGCCACTTCCGACAACGCCGCCACCTGATGGCAACAACAACGTCATCATCATCGTCATAATCAACGGGATGGGAACAGAAATGCCACGCCCCTTGCACAACGCCCATTGCCCATTGCCATCCTACTTAACCACTACGAAATTTCCGCTTCCGTTAAGGCGCGAGCGTAAAATTAAATCAGCAACAAAATATTCTATGCAAATGCGAAATAAAAAGAAACCAACACACAGAATCCAATGGAAAATGGGTATTGGGTTCAAGTCCTAGTCCTCCTGGTCGTCCTTTCGATTTGGCTCTTTGGTTCAGCATTTTTCCTGCCGGCTTTTCGCCATTATCGACCAGCAATTAGAGCAAGCTGAAGAAATAGAAGTGCATAAACCTGCTCAAGTAGCTAAAAATTGAATTCCCAGGAAACTCTCTTCGATGAGGAGTGAAAATTGGAATTGGTTATCGGAGTGAATCACATTTTTAGAGTGGATCGAAAGCAAAATGTGTCATTGAAAAGGACTTTATAGAATGAGGGTGAAGATGAAAACAAAATCCCCAAATAGTTGTCTAATGAACCGGTATAAATAGGAAGTATTTCATTTAATTAAACTTTGTACTTCTATAATTATAAAATATCTACAGAAATTCCTGTAAAAATTATATTTAAAAATATGCCACAATTTATTTTTGTATAATTTATCTGTCAATCTCGTGCTAAAATGTTTGCACAGCACAGCATTTTCCCCCGCTCAGGTCTAATTTATTTAAGGACAAATTAAAATGAGTTGCTGCTCGCCTGTCAGGTCCAGGTATTAAATGAACACAAATAAATGTTTTTCCTTTTTTTTTTTTTAAAAATACAATTGGGGTCTGACGACCTGAACAGGCAGGTCATGGGTATGTATTTTTGTCAGTATTTACCATCGATTGCTAAAATTTTATTGACAAAAAAAATATATATCCGAGCGTCGTTGGCCAGAGGCAGGTATTGTGTGTGGGTCTCGTAATAAAATTCGAATAATACCGCTGGCAGAGATTTCCCCCGTAACTCATTCTGCATGGCCGGGTCGGCATGGTTAATGTTTTCATTTTATTATGCTAAACTAAAACCAACAGTTTTATGCGATTTTTATTATTGGCTTGGTACTGGTCGGGGATCGGGGATCCAAGCACAAACAAACAAACACATAGCCAGTTGTTTTACGGCCGGCTGGGGCTACCTTTTGGAGAATGGGAATGGTAGTAGTTTATACCTTATAGTTTTAGATCTCCTTTATCATTATCGCTACATTTGTGTGTCTCTCTCGGATTGAAATTGAAAATCTTATCATAAAAATCATGTCGTGACTGAGAAAATGGTAATGGGCTAAGTGCAGCAAAACGAATCTTGATTTTATATTCCGTTTATATTGGAGATTTATTAGGACGGGCATATTTTTGTTGAAGTGGCCCATAATGACTTTATTGCGTGATGGTTGGGAAAAACTGTCAATAGCTGGGTGGTTAGTAGGATGGATGGATGGGTGGTAGAGTGGGTGAGGTGGATGTCTGGAAAATATTCCTCCCATTCGCATTTAACAGCTCATCAAGCAACAGAAGCCGAAGCCCAAGCAGCAAACAGCAGCAGAACCAAACGAAATACACTCTAAAAACGTTGGCAATCAACGAAGCATAATTTGTACAACAATTTCCGTTTGCCGGCCAAGTCCACAAAAACGGGATTACGGTTTGGGCCTTTTTGGCTTTCGGTGTCTGGTCAAAAGTCAAAAGTCCGTTGAACCCCAGCGAAGCGTAAATGTTTTTCCCGGTCCACGGTCCTCTTGTTTTTTCTCATGGTGCTTCATTTTTCCTTTCGAATGATTCAATAACACGTGTTAGTCGGGATACTACAAAAAAAAAGTAAATTCCAAAAACCAAACAAAAAAAATGGAAACAGAAAATATGAACAAAAAACAACCTCCACGTCGTCTGATTAGAACAATTTCAATTTTCACGCGGACATTGTCGTTTTTCTTTTTTTAGTATTTGGGCCTTTGGCTTTTTGCAACGTCAGACCTTTGGGCACGAAGGTCATTCAATTTGATTAAGCAATATTTTCGTTTGTTTGGGATGATTTAGCAGGAAGTTTATGTGTATATGGGTGTACCCCGTGACAGGTCGAACATTGCTCCTGTCATGCTTTTCCTTTCATTTTTTTTTTGTTAGATCCTGACAGTTTATCGTTGATGGAGAATGTTTCAAGACATCCATTAGCTCATTGTTGGGCTTTAAGGACTTAAAGGAGTCACTTCACAAGTTTATACATTTCAGAATTTATTGGACAATAATTTAATTAACAAAGTCTCTTGCAATGCATAGCTTTATATTAAATTTCATTCCAATTATCGTTTGGAAAATTCTGTTTCCGAGTGGTGACCATATTTGCAACTTTTTGATATTCCATCTGATTCGAAACTCAATAAACTCTTATTTCGCAACCGCATCAAAGTTTCTGGATGATTGTAATGCAAACCGTATTTCACCATTTGCAGAGCTCGCCGAGTGTGAATTCTCACAAAAGCTTTTCAATCTCGAATTCATTTGCTTGAAATCGAATAAGCAAACTCGGAGAAAGCCAGAGACAGAGAAAATGGTAAGAGAAACAGAGAATCCTTTTGGTTGGAGTAGGTTGTGGGTGTGAGGATGATGGGGGAGGATGGGGAAACAAGCACTTCATAATGAAATGAAATCTTATCACATTTCAGCTTGATTGCTGCCTGCCGCAATATTGTTGCCTTCCTTCCCTGCCGAGGTAGAAGGAAGACTAGTGCTAGAAGCGAAGAAAGTGAGAAAACAAACTTGCTCACAATTCAATTCAACTGCATCCTTTGCTGCTTCCAGGATCTACTTTTTTTGTGTTTGCACCTGGCACCTGGCTGTCATAGCAATGTGGCACTCACCTGTCGTGGGATTGTGTCGTCCTGCGGCCGCCAGACTGAGATTTCGTGGCAGAGTCATGCAATCACCGCCGCCTGCAGAGGTGCCACCGCCACCGGAGGCACCACCACCGGAGACTCCGCCACTCACTGGCGTGCTGGTGAGCAGGACATTGCCGCGGCTGTCGACGAGGGCGGTGCCACCGCCGGCTAGATTCAAGGCGGCCGTGTTCCTCGCATAATTCAAAGTGGCCGCATGGTGCAGGCCGCCGGACTTGGGCAGCGTCATCATTCCGGGATTGTAGCTCACGCTGCTGCCGGAGACGACAACGGAGGCGCCGCCACCGGAACCACCGCCACCTCCGCCAACTGCTCCGCCCACACCCCCTGAGCCGGAGCCACTCCGGCCGAATGTTTGCGTGCCGGACATTCCCTTGATTTGCATGTGCTCTCGCTGCTGCTGCTGCTGTTGCTGATGTTGCTGCTGCTGCTTGCTGCTGGTGCTGTAGGTGACATTGCCGAGGTTATCGCTGCTCACCTTGCCACCATCTAGCACACCATTGTTCAGGGCCCCACCGCTGCCGCCGCCCACCTGCTGCTGTTGCATGCCTACGGGTATAAGCCAAAAATTGTTGTTGATTTTTCAGTGTTTCGTAGGGGTTTGGGGCATGTAGAGGCCTTTATTAAAAGTTAAAGTGCCAGTTAAGGTTTGTATATAAATGTTTAATAATTAGACTGATATCGTGATGGCTTTTAACTATCTATTTAACATAAGATTACTGAATTATTATACCATCTAGTTATGGACATATATCATCTCTCATAATATCATATTAACTCGATTTTAAAGCTTATCATTGTTTTAAAAATATTAAAATACTTAAAAACCCCTTTTACCACAAAAAAACGGCTTTACCATTTTTCAATAATAATTAAATTCAAGTAAATTGATTTAAAATAAAAGGTTGCTTGATTACACTTACCTGTATTGGAGCAGATGTGTGGTGGGGGTGGCTTCACATCATTTGCGGCAGCAGCGGCTGCTGCGGCGGCTGCCTGGAGGAGCATGGCCGCTTGTCCGGCCTGGTCCTGGTGACTCTCCACGTCTACAATGACGTTGGCCGAACTCTGGGAGTGGCCCATGTGGTAGTGGGCGTGCTTGATGGGTTCCGGCGGGTAGGGGACCTGCTGGTGGAGGCTGCGCTGCTGGTACTGCTTCTGGAGGGTCTTCACCTCCAGACGCGTCTTGTCCCGCTGGTAGTACACCCCGGCAAATATGAGCACGTTCAGGATCAGCAGGCTGCAGCCTATGGCTATGGTGACGCTAAGGGCCGTGGAGTAGGCGGCATAGCCGGCCGCCTCGAAACCAGAGGCCAAGGTATCCGATGAGGCATTGGCCAAGGTAGTTGGGGCAAACACCCCGCCTCCGCCACTGCCGGAGTAATTTCCTCCGATGGGTATACAGGTCGTGTACATGTTGTTCGGCTCCACGGTGGTAACTGAAATTACCGAGAAGTGGGTTGCATATTAATCTCTGACTGTACTGGCTCGGAGTAGTTCATTTGGTTCGCAGGGAGTCAGTCGACAGCCAGTGTACTCGTACACGGGTCGTATGAGTAATGTCCTTTGGCAGCTCAAATTATTCATGAGGACGAGGTGGGTGTTGGGAGGCGATTCTGGGGTAAATGTATTCAAGAGGCCACCAACAGATGTCCAGCAAAAGATTGTTGCTGTATTGTGACACACTTTCCACTCGAGCATAAACTTCTTGAGGCAATTTTCAGCTGTTCAATATGTTGTTATATTAACAATTCAATTTTAAATGCCAAGAATGGCCAGTAGCTGTATTGAATGTCAAGCATTGTCCGAGGAACACCTGCCCTTTGGGCTTGAATTAATTGCATTATAAGTGAAAAGTTAATATATTTGATTTTTGGCCTTACAGAGGTCTTTTGTCTCAACTATTCGTTGTATATATGAAAATATTTCGCACTCTACTTGGCAGGAAGAGGACAGGTGCGCGGTGAAAGGAGTCGGAAGCGAAAATGTCTGCGAAAACAAATGGGTTTCGTCCTTTGATGCTCTCCTTGGAATTGTATATTTCATTGTTCTAGAAGTGCCTTTGGATTGTTCTGTTCTGTTCTGACTGTCTGGGTGTGCGATTCAAGCACTTCCTACACTTGGCATTGTTCTGTATCAAGTGTGGGTGTCTTCTATGTACTTGCTCGCTTTGTCTCTAAAGTTTTCCCTCACAATTTTCTGCATATCAAACAATTTGGGAAAAGTTGCTTCATTGTCTCAAGATTAAAGACTTTGGCACGTATTTTGCATAAATATTCGCCGAAATAAATCTGCCGTAATAATTGTGAATAAAAGGCAACGAAAAGCTGGCATATGCCACCAGCCTCCTGGCCAGGATCTGGGTGTCAATAATCGTGTGAAGACTTACAGCTGTCATCCAAGAATCACTTGCTGCTGCTGCTGCTGCTGCTGCTATCACCGATGCTTTGTCTGAGAGCTTTTTCAATTTGCATTCAAGTGTGGCATTTAATTTACTCAAGATTGTTTGGATTTTGTCGGGAATGGTTAACGAAAAGCATCCAGCCCGGCTGCCGCAAAACCCAAAAAGCATCAGGTGAGTGGGCAACGAGCCAAAGTTTTTGTGGGCGTGCTGGGGAATCCAATTTGGAATTAGCCCTTATCTATACATAATAATTTCTCACCAAGTTTCGGCCATCAATCATGATGGCGTAGGCAGCTCGGCTCAAAAACTCTCAGCCTGTCACTTGAGTTCACTCGGAAAAGTTCTTAAGACCCTTTTTTCCTCTCTTATGGCCTTTCCTAAAGTGTCGGTGTGACGGCATAACAGTGTGTCTGTGTGGACAGGACAACCCTTTTGCTAAATTGCATAACCTGGTAAATTTTTATCCTCCCCCCATTTTGAGCAGACTCGACCCTGGCCACTAAGCTTTTTATCATTCCGCTCCATTTTGCATTTAATTTTGCAAGTACAAATAATTTTCAGATGGTGTGCAGCAGCATTTGGAATTCCCGCTCCCTATTTTTAATTCCTTTTTATTTTTATTTTAATTTCCAAGGGCCGCATGCGTTCAAGGACCCCAGATAATTATGTTACGAGGACACATGGCCCCAGCCAGGACATGGACAGATAGCCGACAAGGGGCGGGAGGAAAAGCAATGCTTAATGTGGCTTTAATTAGTGGAATCACTGCGACGGGCGAAAAAAAGAATAGAAATAATAATAAGAAAGTAGAGCAACCCCAAGCCGTAAAATCAAACCGAAAATAGTCTGAAAAGGGCGTTGCCTGGCAGCTTTTTGTGCCACGAAAGCGAAAAATATTTGCGGACAGGCCGGGAGTCGGTGAGCCAGGCTCAAATGTCCTTGCATAAATTAGATATTAGGCAGGCCAACGGCATCAGCGGCTGATGCTGACTGGCTGGCATTCTGCTAAGGACACTCGGGCATTTATTAAGTGAACCATTTCAATTTTCACTGATAGTTTGACATTTCCCAGCTTAATCAGCCCTACTTCCCCGAAAAAGAAATCGCTGGAATTATGCAAATGATCCGCTCGGAAGATGGGAAGAGATTTTCCTGGTAGGCTTTCAGGCTAAGTCTCTTTCCACATGTTGCTTTATCTCCATCTCGTTGCCAAATAACTCAGGTGAGCCGACGACTCTTACCTGGTTTTCTTTTCTATTTCCATTTTTCGCTGGAATCCAGGTCAGGCAAAGTAGCACAGAGTTGGCTTTGTGCCTCTCTGTTTCGGTGTGTAGGAGGATGTGGCTTGTTTGTTTTTTTCTAAAACCTTTTTTTTTGGCTTTGGAAAAATGGTAACCCAAGTCCCTGGCACAGGATGATGGGATAAACGACATTGAAAGTGTACTCAGCGGGATTGAAAATGAATTAAAGGCAGTTGCCTCCAGACTTTTGAGTCTCCTGCTTATCACATAATTATCATAAAGTTGTTGATCTTGAATATATGGAATAATACAATTATAAGGCGCTACCTTTAGAGGTAGTTGTTTGTAACCCTATTCTTAGACTATCTTAGGCGCCTGAGACTATCTTTTTTTTTGGTAAAAACTTATTTACATATTTTGCCAAAAAGTAAAAAAATTTAATAAAAGTAAGAAGAAATAACTTTGAAAACAGAAATCCAAGTCCTTCAACACTTTGCCAACCCGACTTGAACTTCTTAGAGAAAAGTTGTTGCTATTTTCCCAGAAACTTTGAAGTTTTGCACGTTTTTCGATTTGTATTTTGTTGCGGTTGCTTTGTTTACGGTCTCAAAGTCTCTCCTTTGGCTGGGAGATTTTTTGGCTTTTAGCTGCATATTCCTGGCGTACCGGCCAAGTTGTATAACCAACGGCTGAGGTGACGACAGGCAAGTGCGGGAAAGCCAAGACAAGGCGGCACAGTTGGCAAAGTCAACGCTTAAATGAAAAGCATGTCAAAGTATGTCGAGTCCATATGACACTGTGACTCGGTCGGTTGCTGCCTTCCAGCACAGTCTGCGACTTTTTGGTGGCACCTCCTCCAGTCCTGTGTCGTCTCCTGTGATTCTCCCACTTCTCCCGCCCGCTTTCTGATTTTCCCCTGAATTTTCGACCATTTTTTCTCTTTGTGGCCTGGCTGCCTCGTCGTCGGCTGTCAAGCTGACAGCTGTTTGTCGCATTTCAGCCATTTTATCATCTTCTATTTCCACTTTTTCTCTATCTGTATACTTTTGGCTTCCCTCTACACTCGCCACTACCACGCCTTGGTTCCATTTTCATTCGAATCTGCGTTACCATTTCTGTTTTTATCCCTGCCCGGGATGTAAAGTTTGTTTTGATGGCCGGATTTAGTTTGCAGCATTTTTGGCCCGTGCACTAATTGAAACGAACATTTGTTGTCTGTGGTCCGACACTCGGCTCTCATCAGGATTTTACATTAGCCACCGCAAGTCGTCCTTTCACCTACAGGTTTCCCGAGTCCCTGGCACTCCGTTTGTTGAATTTGTTTGGGTCACAGATAGTTGTTTGTCCTCCAAACCAAAATGGAGAGAGATTTAATTTAAGCTAAGCTTGGTTCTAGTATCTTAATCTTAATCCTTTTATCTTAAATTTTAAAGTTTTCTTTTTCATTAAAAAGTGAATTTTTCTTTCAAGCAAACTACTGGGAGGGAAAGAGTCAACATTTCAATAATTTTTAATTTTCCCGACTTTGCGAAGCGAAAGCGCTTTAGCGTGCCACGCCCACGCCCCAACCCTTATAAGCTAATCCATTTTGCATTGGCCAACTTGGCAGTAGGGTAGGGTGGTAGGGGTGCTATATTTAGTTGCCTGGCTAGCGGAAAGTAGAGAAAGTTTCGCCTGGAATTGACTGTCTTAGTTTTGACTTTGGGATAAGCCAGCCCTGTCGGTGAAGCTGGGGCTATACTGTGAAACAAGGACACGCCCAGGAGGCTCCCCTAGCCACCGTTTCATATAAGCATTTGATGTTTGAGTTGGATTCGCTTCTGAGTCCCCCCAATGGCCCGCGCCATCAGTCTCTTGTTGAGGGAAGCAGATGCAGCCTGCAGTTGCCACAGCTGCGGGGACAGTTTATTAAAAATGGCAAAAACATAAAGAGAACGAGGAAAAAACAAGCAGCAAAGTTTGCTGTTAATTTAGAGTAAGTGTTGAAAAAGTTTCCGCCAACGAGTTTTACATAAACTGGTTTAATGACTTCCCATCTGAGACCCGGGCCGGAAGAAGGTTGGGGAGGGGCGTTGCAAGTGCATTAAAATTGTGCGCTATTTACATTTGTGGCATCTTAGACAGAAGGCTCACCCCATCCCATGCCATCCCCTGACTTTTCCACCCGGGCGAATGTAAACGAGAAAATGTATGCCACAGACAGATAGTAGATATAGTATATGGAGAGAAAAGGGCGGGGCACCGAGCATGAGGAGGCGCCCCAAAGGAAAAAAGGTTACACACACTTAATACTTGTAGAGATTACAGTTGAGTGCATTTCCAAAAGTCAGCACTCGACACAATATAAATTCAAAGGCCAAACCGTATCCCGGGTGCCGGACGCAATTTCAATAACCGGCGAACCCCAGCTGGAGGTCCAAGTTCGGGTTGGGTCAAATGGAAATGTCATGCCTGGGATGGAATTCTCCTGCCATTCTCTCCTCATACAGAGGGTTTGGCTCACAAAAATGCCAAGTTTGCAATTTAACTTGCTGCTGCGGGACCACAAAGTGAAGTAAACACCGACTAGGCCGAGGCCAGCGCCAAGTGTAAACAGAAATCTTTGCTTTCGAAAGTGTTGATTTTCAGCTCGTTCTCCGGCAAACAAACCCAACTGAAAACCAAAAAACAAAAATGAGAAAAAAACCAACCAAAAGTCAAATAAATAGAAAGGGTTTTCTCTTTTGAATTTGATTTTTATTTGAGTCTGATCCCACATGGTGAGTGTTGAATTTATTTCATTTTCTGTCGAGTTATTAAACAAATGTGCACATGTGCGTACAAATTTGTGGCCTCATCTTAAATATTTGGCTCTGGACTCGCTTCGGATGGCTTGATTTCTTATGCACATACAGGGCGTATGAGTGATATTTGGAATTGGTGTTTAGTAATTGAGGTCAAGAAGAGAAAACAGATGGGAATCGGTCTACTAGTAGTATGATTTGTCTAAAACATAATAATTTCCTATAACCCAAACTTTCTAGAGCTTAAAGCCATTCCTCAGCGTATAAGATCTGGTCTTATTTTAATTTCAGAATTTGTTCGCTTTAGCAGAGTCTGCAATTAAATATAAGCCACTGCCAAAGGCCACTCAAGCGTCCCTTTTGGCCTGGCCTTTGTCAACTGTATTAAATGACAACTGCAGACTGTACAAAGGGCCAAAAAGGGACGAAACCAAAATACAATCTACAAAGGCGATAGGCGTTATTCCTTTGGGCTCTCGGTCGTTGTGCCGTTTTGCCGTTTTTTGCCCACTTATTTGTTGTCTTTAGGTATTTAAGTGACAGTGACAAGCCGCAGAGCAAGCGTATGATAACCCGACGACTGACTGTCTGACTGGGTGACTCGTTGACTGTCTGATTGGATGTCTGTGTTTGTTTTGGGAGGGGGGGGAGCTACTTACCGCCCAATATGCCGTTCAAATAGGCGGAGGCATTTAGACCGCGTCCCTTCTTCATCATCAATTGCTCATCGATGAGCAGGAGGCGCGAGTTGGACGACGACGAGGACGAAGTTGAGCCGGCGTTGGCTGTTGATATGCCGAATGGATCTGGTTTAACGGGTCCCTCGTACAGGTCCATATCGTCGTGATTGCGGAACAGATTGTGCCGGGCTATCACATCCTCCATTCCGGCGCGATGTAGCTCCGGTATCAGGCGCAGCCAAATCGAGAGTTGATGGGCCCGAAAGTGATTCTTAATGCGCGGCTTCATTCCTGGAATTTAAAGAGATCCAGTTGTTCAGTAGATAGAGGAATGAGTATGCAAAAATCTTATTTGCGGGTTAAGGAAAACAAAAAGGGGCGCCGTTAGTGTAAACATCTTCATTTTCATTTCCATGTGACAGATACCAAAGCACACTCACACACCTCCTCGTTCCTAACACGAAACATGCATGCAAATAGCTCTAATGCTAAACTATTCCATTTTGGCAAAGCTTTTGCTTTTGGGCTACTTTCGAGTCATTTGCATGCCAAAAAGGTGAGCGACAGACACTTGGCTCAATTGAGGCCAGACTGGCTTCTCGGTGCCTCAGTTTTGCGCCCTCGGTGCGCCCCGAATGTCTTGTTTACTTTGGCTGGGTGAAAGCGACATAACTGTTTAATTTTTGATGCCCCCAGCTATTCCGGCTAAGAGCCTGTCAAGTGCACTGGGAGAAAAGGTAAGACATTCCCAAAGATATTTAAAGATTAAGATTATTAAAGAGTTTGACTTAAAATAACTAAAATTTAATCTTGAAGCTTCTTTTATAGGAATAGTATTATTCTTGTTACTCGCAAAATTTATTCGCTTAGTGTTTACAAATAATGCGGATATCCTTTGGATAGCCTACTTCCTTTGGAGGCTAACAGGTGGCTGGCAGGATATCTTCATATCTGGACGTATTTATAAATATCTGAAAAGTACCGAGAATGGTTGTCAAATATTCAGAAAGCATTTTTCGCACACCTTTTGAGCCGCGTGCTCTTTATCCTTGGGGAGTATTCACAAGAAAGTATGATTTCTGAGCAAACTACCTTTTCACCTGATCTACTCCCTTCCCATCCACCGTCAATCAACAGTCGCAAGTGCAAATCCGAAACCTAAATAAATATTGCATAATATACGGGGCGGTGCATAATTTACGCAACACAACTTTCAATATAATGGCGGCTCCTGGCTCCTGGTCGTATGTGTACATAACATATCCTTATAGTTCGATGTACTATATGCAAGTGTATTGTACGAATGCGGCGCATCTGTGTGACAGCTGCCTTTGTGTACCCGAGATCCTTTTGTGTAAACCAAAATTCTCTGCTCGAAGGAGCTGCTCCTCCTCCCAAGCCCGACCCCCTCCCACAATATTTGATTTCGATTTCAGCTCGCCGGCGTATCAAATAAAAACTCTCCACGGCGGAATCCTTTCAACTTGCTTATGTAAAGTGCAGGCGGAGCTGAATAGAATGTCAGCTGTCGCGCTCTGTGTCATTTCAATTAAAATCAAACAAAAAAAAAAACTTATATATGTATATAAAGTAAAGAAGGAAGAGGGAGAAATATAGTATCTGCTCACAGACATATACATATCCTTTGATACGTATCGTTCTTCAGTGCTTACATGTGCGTAAAGTGCGTGTCAGCAGGCATTGCCCTGGCAATTTCTGTTACCTCTTACCTTCAGTACCACGGGTACTGAGAAAAAAAAATTGTATACAAAAAAAGCCATTCTCATGTGCACAATGTAAGGGTAATCCATTGCCATAACCTGTTTGTAATTTTCATAAATCGTTAAGCGCACATATCTGTCGCTATCTTTTCAAAAGAATTTCCACGAATTGAGGGTGTCTGTGGGGGTTTTGGCCTACTTTTTTTGTCAAGGGGGTACATCTATTCTAAGGTTATCTAAATATTTTATATTTTTATTGAAGAAAAATTATTTTACAAAATTGTAAAGAAATTTTTTTATTTAGTTAGTTACTAACTAAATGAACTAAATAATTTAGTTAGTATCAGAAGAGTACAACTCTATATAAAACATACACATTTTAATATTTTAAATTTTTTGCTCTCATTTGTGTCTAACTCTCTACATCTCTATTTTGTTGGTCTTTTTGAAAATCTACCTTGTTGGAGAATTCTATAAAATTAACAATAGCCCATAAAAACAAAAGTTTTCTTATTAAAATTAAATATTTAGTGTCCTATACGAATTTCGTCGGAATTCAGGGTATTTGATAATCCCCCCCATTATGCAAATGAGATGTATAGAAGCCACCCCCTATCGACTTTGAGTGTGTTTTCCCATGTTCCTGTCGCGTTCGAGCACAAAAGGTGCGAAAAATTTGAAATTAATAACATTTTCGTACATTTGACATGAAGCAACGGTGCCATTTTAACGCTCACATAAAGCTTTATGCACCCCACTCCGATTTTCGCCCACAACCCGCCGATTTTTCGACAATCTCTGGGCGTTTTGATTGCCCTTCATCTACCTGGCGGAGCTACCTGGTGGGGCTACCTGGCGGGGCTACCTGGTGGAGCTGTTGCTTTTGCTTCAATACCCTGACAGTCGCCGGTGTGATGCTTATTTTTTTCCACTCACATTTTCAAGTACTTGTGTGTTAACTCCCTCGTTTTTCACCGGGACCCCTTGCCGCCACACCCTTGCTCATCCTGGGAAAGTCCTTCCCTGGGCAGGTCCCCTCAATTTGTTGTTGTTAGCAGGCGAGGCATGTACAGGCGTTGCCTTCTTTAAAATTCAAATTAAATTTGATTCTCCTTTTTTTTTTGTCGTTCAGCTGGGTGTGTGTGTGCTTAGGTTTCATTTTATTTTTTTTTGTTATACGGGAAATTTGTAGCCTTTATTTGGCATGAATTCCATGAATTCTTTTTACTGGATACCAAAATAGCCATACATCGTTTTGAAATTTTTGTGGTGGGAGAGAGATTTGAAAGAAAGCTACTTGCATATTAATGACGTGACCCTCATCCTCAATATAGTTCTATGGAAAAGGCTCTATTTAAACTTTTAAACTATTTCCAACAAACAAGCATTTCACATTTGGCAGCTTAAGAAAAGATTTTTGTTTGAAACACTCTCAAAATCCACTCACACAAAAAGGAAAAATAAGTTAAACTTAGATGCGATTCCAAGGGAAAACTTTTATGCTGGCTCACCTATTTCCAAATACTTTTGATGCAGCGGATCATAATTTTCCCAGGTGATGCTACGAAAGCGGTTGCGCTCCTTGGAAACGGGCAGCGACGAGTCCTGGCGATGATGTTCATTGGGATTGCTAAAAGGAGGTTACAGTTTTTAAAAATACACTTCAAGATTTTCCTGGAAAAAGTTTAGTTTAAATGACTTTTTGAATATTTAATCATTAAATGTAAGCATATAATCCGTTTAAGGTAGCAAGGCTAAAATCAAGGATTAAGATCCTCTCTTCATATTAAATGTCTTATTTTTCTCAGTGCCAGTCTTAGTAACATGTTCAAGTGCAGCTTAAAATCCGAGCTGGACAGCAGGTGTCCTAAGACTTCTTAGGGCCACTTGCGGCGCCGAAAAGCCCTCTTCAAAAACTCACCCGGTGCGCGCAAAGTTTGTCCAGAAAATCATGACCGCTTCGGACAGAGCTGTCTCCGATTTGGTGTAGTTCTGGGGAAAGTGGCTGAAACCGTCCACCAGCGGGGCTCCGAATATATAGGGCAGGTCCTCGCCGTGCACAGTGCCCATTCGCTGCGGATAGTCCCCGTCCTTGGTTTGGTAGTCAAATACGTAAAAGTAGCAGCGACCCGAGGGCTGCGTGGAGCCTGCCGATGTGGAGGCAGCTGCGTTTCCGCCCGCGTTGCCCGATGGCGAAGATGAGCTCACGGGGGGCGGGGAATTGGCGGCCAGGATATCACCGGCCCGGACAATCGGCGCCACAAACTGGGCATCGGATAGAGCGGCCACAGCCGTATCCCTGGTGTTGATCGGATGCTGCGAGGTGCGATCCCAGTCGGTGTACTCGTTCACAATCTAAACGGAAACGAGGTGTTTCAGATTAAATTCCTTCGCAAGCATTGCTTTAGTGCACTTGAAAAACAGTATGTAGTTTATAGAATCTTAGAATATTTATCTTCCCTTAAAAACCTTTAAAACTAAAAAAAAAGAATCCCACTATTTTTCAATTAAACTTTAATCTTGGGAATCCCTTGATTTAATTCCGATTTTCGCCATTTTTCTGTGCGAGTGCAGAAAAGGCAGAGGGATTAGATTTGCATTGGCTCCATGTGTGCCAAGTCAAATCCCTGCTGGATTACAAGCGGATTGCAACTGTTTGCTGTCCTTGTTTGCGGTGGCCATTCCACCACCGCAAACTGGGCAAAAGGAGTGCTCCCTGCCACCACTATGATTATTTCTAGCCAGCATGTGTGTGAAAAATAAACGACCACAAAATGCATCTGTAAAATCGATGTCATGCATAATTTAAAAAACCCTATCAAAAAATGCAAACAACATAAAAAAAAGAGAATGTGTATGGAACAGAAACTGAATCTAACAATGGTGTGTGGAATACATTTACATTGTTTGTACTTTTTACAACTTTGAATTTATTTTTGGCCAGCATTGATTTTTGGTTCCTGGAAGTTCTAAAGAGAAAAGCAAAAGCTCATATATAAATGATTATAAAATGCTATTCAATTATAACGTTTGATTAGTCATCATTAGCCTGGCACTTGGTTCCGTCTGCTCTGTCTGGAGTGAGCAGCTCGTGCCCGACCTTTGACCTATAAAAATTGAGCTTTATGGAGTATGAAAGAGCAAGCCGCCCCGGCGACTCTACAAAAGTATAATTAAGTAAAATAAATACGGATTTAAGCGTCATAATCGTGATATATGCGCTGGTAATTTACGACTTCTGGATATACATATATGTAATATATATCTGTTTATATGAGTATATCTGGTCCCCTCCACTCACACCACACCAGGCCATTGCATTTGCGGAGACTGTGTGTGTTAATGCGGCGAATGGTTCAGGTTGTGAGGTTCACAGACGGTTGTATACAGATACAGGCTACGGATTCAGCTTCAGCTTCAGTTTCAGACACTGACTGTTGACGGTTGTCGTTGGATGCTTCTCGGTTTTCTCCGCTCTGCTGTTTGCTGTGATTTGGGTTAAGTGCTGCTTGTGCGCTTTTAAGTAGGTACATGTGCGACTCTGTGTACAAATATACATCCATCCATACAGAATATGCGTGTAAGTGTATGTACGGGTATACGGCTGTGTGTCTCTATGTCCTTGCACACATTTGCCAAATAAAGCGTGTTAATGTTTTGGCAGCAATGGCGTGTTAACTGCCTTCCATTTCGCTCGCTTGCACAATACAAAAATAAAAACAAAAAAAGCCAGCAAGAGGGCATAAAATAAATATATACAACAGCATTACAGCCGTAGAAACAGCATCAGCAGCAGCGGCTAAATGTAAAAATAAGAAAAAATTGTTAAAAAGTTGCAAATGCCCGGGAACATGAGCGCAAAAATGAAACGCAGACAGACTCATAAATGTATGTGTTGTTCGAGTGGCGAATGTTACTCATACGCCGTGTTGAATTATAATTACACCAGCACACCCAGCAACATAGTGGCAACATTTTAATTGACTTCTTTCCCCCGTCAGCAGCAGGCGCTGGCCCCCAATTACTCAATTGGTAATAACAATTTTTTTCTCGATTTAAGTTTAAATGAAACCTATTTCTTTCATCTGGCGAATGTCTATAAAGTTTTTCGGTCGCGAAACTTTTCAAGTCGCAAAGCAAACCAAAGATAAAGGCAATAATTAAGCTTAACCGACAGACTATCAGACCGCAAAAGTCTGCTGTCTCGGCAGACAAATCTGATTGGCAAGATTTATGGCCCAAAACCGACGACACTTCTCCTGCCACTCAAAAATTGTACAACTTACCGTATAGAATATCTCGTTGAGGTGATAATTGTAGGCATTGCGAACGTAGGTGCGGATAATTTTATCGCGCCTCTCGCCCTCGAAACCGTTCTGTATATCATGGGCACTGAAGCGCCAAATCGATTCGCCCGTAACGACGCCAAACAGGACGTCATAGTGACCGCCCATGTTTACCGTATTCGACCCGCCGCCACCTCCACCGCCGAAATATCCACCGCCGCCGAATGCCGATCCAGAGCCACCGCCACTGCCAGAGCCCCCGCCAGGTCCGCCGCCGGGACCACCTCCACCGCCGGATGTCTGGTACCCGGAGTCCGCCGAGGAACGCCTCGAGTTGCGCGCCATTAAATCATCGATATCGAGATTGGAATGTCCGGGTCGTATGACAACGCCATCAACCTAAATTGAAATCGGGGAAGGGAGAAGGAATAGCAAGTAAATGACAGCACTACTGGACCGGGCAAAGTAAAGAGAAGGGGCGTAAGTAAGTAATAAAGTCCATTGGAGCATGGACTGAACAAAAGTTAAATCAGGACCAAACGCAACAAAAACCCCGAATGAATGCCTCGGAAGCAATGACAAAATCTCTGCCCAAGATAGCATTTAATTTTCTTTCAGCAAAAGCGGTTATCCTAGAGGTTTGTAGATACTTGAAATACTTTCAAGAATGTAATGAATACTTTCGGAAGAAAAAAGATATATAGAGATTTAAAGAAGGTACTTAATAATTGTACTGTTTCTTTATATTAAGAAACTATAATGCACTAATTGGTTTATTAAATATGTGTGCAAATGGCATTTGAAGCCCTCGGGGATTACAATGTATAATTCACATATACATTATTCATAAATACTAATGATTTTTCAAAACCCAACTCCCCAAAGGCTTTTTTAATGCTTTATTTAAATTGAAAGCTTCGCTTTAAGCTTAATTGTCGTTTTTAGTTCTTTGTAACATTTAGTCAAATGCCGATAAATAATTAAATTATAAAAGGTGAACTAAACAGGGGAAAATAAATATGAAATCACACTTACCGATGGCCCGAAGGATGTGAGAAAGTTGGGGGCTTGAATGTCGGCACTGTAGAGGTCATCCAGTGGCACGTCCCTCAGGCAGTCGACAATTTGTTCGTGATGGCGATTCAGATCCTCAGGAATGGTGCAGTTCACCTCCTTGGCCAGCTTGATGGCGAACAGTACCGGATCCTCCACCAAGGCCCAGGAGGAGTAGGCGGAGCCCGACATCAGGATGGCCCGGTGGAAGAGACCCCTGACCATTGTGGGCGAGGTCATCAAGTAGTTTATGCAGGCAGCGCCAGTTCCATGGCCCGCCAAGGTCACCGAGTTGGGATCCCCGCCGAACTTTTGGATATTCTGCTGAATCCAATGGAGGGCAGCCATCTGATCCATCAGGCCGTAGTTGGCCACGCGAGCGTGGGCATGGGGATTGGGATTGGCATTGAGGAAACCTGAAAAAAAGTTAATATGTTTCCTTACTCTTAAAACTATTTATTTATAACAGCTAAAAAGTCGTACCTAATATCCCCAATCGATAGTTGAGCGTTACCACCACCACTTCTCCATAGCTGGCCAGGACACTGCCGTCGTAGGGATTTCCGCTACTCCACTCGAAGGACTCGCCATGTATAAACACAATCACTGGTAACTTCTTTTCATTGGCTCCGGCTAATCAAATAAAAATGAATATTTACAAAGTGCTGTGAGTGTATCAGGAATCATGAATCTAATATTTTTGTAAGTTTTTTTTTGTGGAGGACTCTTGTGGTATCGCATATTTTTGGCTTTTCAACACAACTGGCAAGTGCCCGAAGAGCTCTCCACGACCCATTAAACGTTTCCGTTTGCGTGCAAAGCGGATTTTGGATTTCACCAGTGCTCCCGTGTAGGAATCGCTTCAGATTAGCGATTCCAAACGGATCCGGCTCAGTCAGGGATTGGGAGCTTAGTGGGGTGGCACTTGCGATAAGATTTGCGCAGTGGTTACGTGAGAATTTGGGTTTGCTTTTGCGTAGAAAATATTGGCATTACGTGGCGTACGATTAATCTTAATTAATTGAATTTAAATGAGATTTATGTGCGAGCTCTGTGGACTTGAATAGCTTGCAAGCTGGCAGTTTGTATGGAATTCCTTAAATGTTTCTTAAAGGTCCTGCTTTTTTTGTTGGCTTACCATTAACTGGCGAAAAGACATTCAAGTAGAGGCAGTCCTCGGACTGATTCTCCAGAAAAGGCAGCAGTCGCCTCAAGTACTCCAGGCGGCCCTTGGGCATCTTCTCCAGCGCTGCCGTCTCGTTCTGGATGTTGGGCAGTCTCTGGGGACAGACGGGACTGTATTTGTCCGAGATGCGAATCCCGTCCCAGGGCGCTGGTGCTCGTGTGGGACTGAACCTGATTAATGGAAATTAATTTTACGTTGAACTTGTTCTTTGTTATCCGTTCCAAGAAAACTTTTAATATTTTCTGAAAAGTGCCTAATGGTTTTTTTACCTTTCATGTTTATTCAGATTTATTTTTTAACGTAATAATTTTCAGGAATTCGTGTACTTACCGATTCTGTTTGGTAGGCGGAGTGGCATACGGTACGCCTAGAAAGACCTCCACGGATCGCAGGAACCGGAAGCTGTCCAGCGGCAGGATGAGCCCGTGAAGGCGGCCATAGCGCGTCTGGACAATACGGTGACCCAGACGGGCGTTCTTGTAGATGTCGGAGGTGGATGCATCGGCAACACTAATCCAGCCGAGAAGAACGACAGGAAGTAGCAGGAGCCGCAGCAAAAGCAACAGCTGGCTTTCCCCCATCTTCCTTTCAGATATATGATCTGCTCAGATGCTTTTGTTCAACTTTCAGTACCTATTTCTATATTTTTGTGGAGTAGCTTGATTTCTTTCTAGTCATTAAGACTATCTATGGTGATGGTTTTGAGCAACTAGACAAGCTGCCAGGTGGCTGGCTTTCATTTTGTACTGAAAAGGGAAGTTAAATATTTGTTAGAAATCTTGATTAAGATAGTGTTATTAAGTATTATTACTTATAAACTGTCATTTTTATTATTTTATTCTCTACAAAGTTATAAGTTTTTTTTTTCTAGAATATTAAACAATGTAGTGCCCTTCACTTTGCAAAAACTCATCTTCAAAGGTAAAAAAATAAAAAAAAATAAACAAAAAAGAAAAATAAAATTTTCATAAATACTAAATTGATTTTTTATGCCACTTTGCCTCAGGCGGCCACTAATTTAATCATATTTGTTAATAGGTCGTTTGTTATTCTCTATATGTACATAATGGTGTGTAAATATAATACAATTTTTCAAATTTCCACATAAAAAGTGCCGCCAGCAAGGCAACGAGTTAAATTTTAGTGGAAATTTATTTTCGTATGAATTAAAATGGTTGGACACACAAAACAGCAAGGTCGTAGGCACACTTTGCACTGCACTCACTGAAAATGGAATGTGCATCTGGTATCTAGGCTGTGAATGTATCTGTATCTGTGCCAGTGCCTGTGCATGCCTCAAGGTTACTTTACACATCCTTAACTATGCCAGTGCAATTTGTGTGCGTCCTTTTTTTAAGCCTTTGCATTTCTGTTGGTAGCTACCATTATTTTTTTTTTGTATCTTTTTGATATTACTCTGCTTATTTGTGTGGTGATTTTTTTTTGTTTTCTGCTCTGACAATTCAAGTACGCCCAGCGAGTGGTAGCTGCACAAGTAGCTCATTTGAATGTGTTTATGGTTATTTGCGAAGAAATGCCTATTTTAGTACGCAGGCTTATGGGCTGTTTCCAAGGGCTATCCATTGGGAAAATTAAGATCAAAGCGAACTGCGGGTGCTTTGAATTCCGACTATGCCATTAGACTTTAAAATCATTACAGACAGAATGTATGAGATGTTCATATTATTCTTTTTTAAAAGATATACTTTTTCTAAATACTTCAAACACATGGTTGTACACACAGTTTTATGACATTGACCTACCATTAAAGTTGGAAAAATGAGGCTAATGCTCAACTTTTTGGACGCCTTGCGCAAAGTACGACTCAAGCTGTCGATGGACACGTTTGGGAACAACAATACCGCCATTCATAACCTGCCCTCTGGCAAATCCGTTGCAAAATCACCTTCCAATCCAAGAATTACCATCGGTGAAGAATCTGGGAGAAGGGTAAGCTGTTACTCTGGTACGCCAAGCGAATGGGGCTGGACTCAGAGATCTCAGTTGGAAGTCGATAAAAGGGCCCCAGAAGAAAGAGAACCGATGTGGCACAACATCAGAAAGGTCCTGCTCATGTGCGGAGGACAAAAGCTTCCAGATGGCATCGAGGTGACGCGAAGGGCGAAGGACGCCAGCCGGCTGGTGGATGTCCTAGAGGCCCAGCGTTTCGTTAGCCAGGTTTTTGCCGCCATGGACGTGCCGAAACAGGCGGCCAGCGAAATGGCCGACGTCCTGATTGCCGCCGATTACATGGGCCACCGCTCCATGGGCATCCACCGATTGCCGGCTATAGCCGCTGATCTTTTGAATGGCACAGTCGTGGGCACGGCCACGCCCTCCATTATGTCCGAATTGGAGGCTATTGGCCTGGTGGATGGCCACAATGCACCTGGGCCCGTGGTGGCAAATTTTTGCATGGACTTGGCTATCCAAAAGGCCAGAGAGGTGGGAATCGGCTGGGTCTCGGCCTGTCATTCGAACTGCATTGGAATGGCATGCTGGTATGCCTGTCAGGTGGGTTGTTTTCGGCTACAAAATATTTTTTGAATTTAATATGTGTTTCTACTGAAACAGGCTTTGGAGCAACGTATGATTGGATTGTGCATGACAAATGGGCCCCCCACCTTGGTGCCTTGTGGCGGCGTTGAGCCAATTCTGGGCGAGAATCCAATAGCCTGTGCTGCTTCGGGAGCCCACGAACAGTTTCTGGCTGACTTTGGAATGGGAGCCTGTTCGGTTGAGGAACTGGAGCTATCGTACTGCAATGGCTGGTCCAAGCAGGTGCCCAAGCAGGTGGCTCTGGACAGCGAAGGTCAAGAAACCACATCCACGGCTGAGGCTCTGAAGGCCCAGCGAATCCGAGCCTTTCATCCGGAACACAAGGGCTTCGGCCTGGCTGGCATGGTGGATATCCTGTGCGGGGTTATGACAGGGGCACGGTATGCCAACTTAATTCAGAGACGTGGAGTTTTCAGTGCCGACAACGCTCCGGCCGACTTGGGCCAAGTCTTCATAGCCATTGACCCGATGCGCTTTTGTTCGAACTTCGAGGATCGACTGGGGGACTTTCACCGCGTCTTACGAAGAGTGACTCCCAATAAAGCCGGAAATCCAGTTCTAGTCCCAGGGGACAAGGAGATGCAACACATGGAAATGGTTGATGATCAGGGGGGCTTCACAATGACGCCCTGCACCTTGAGTGTCCTTGGCGAGTTGGCTGAAAAGTTTCAAATAGCACCCTTGAAAATGAAAGGGATATCTCAGCTGCGACCGTTTGCCTCAAAAAAAGCAAATAATCACGAAGAATTACAAATGGTTTAGTAAAAAAAAAAACACAAGCTACAATATCGGTTGAATGTAAATCGTTTATTAAGCATAATTTTATTTTAAGCATTTAAGAATGAAAATAAAACAGAATTGAAACAAACGCCAATGTAAAAATTAATGAAGGGAAACAATAATTATTAAATAAATGTGAAGTCCTCTTTTCCGGCCACAATATGCTAATCACTCATTACCGCCATCGTTATAGATTACTGAGTAATTAAACATAAATGGAAAATCGTGAAAAGCTGATTAAAAGAACAAACAAAAATTAAACACATCCGTTGTCAGAACGAATAAAACTGAAAAGATTATGAAATTCCGTGAATGCGTTTGGAATTTTGATTAAACGTACGCCCTTTATTTGTTTAGTATTAAAATTGGCTAAATAATCAATTTAAAAAAAATTGACGTAACAAATATTTGCACTTAAAACCGTTTTGTTTTTTCAAAGAATGTAAACGGATATGTAAATGGATAATAATACAGACAGTAAAACAAAAATCAATAAAATAAATCAACATTTAATTTAAAGCACGACCCGGGCAGCGTAGACACACTTTAAGGAAAAGTTCATAAAGTTGAAGGAGCAAACTTTGTCCAACAAATGTTCACCTCTAACACGGCAATGAAAAGAGAGAATTTTCAAATGGTTTTCTTGCCCGTCGACTAATTATGGAGCGCTAAAATATTCAAAAGTTCAAAACAAGCTCGTCTTCTTCGTCTGCCACCGCTTCTTTGCACGGCAATAAAACACGAAAAAAAAATCTACATAATTATTTGCGTTAATTTATGCACCTCCTGCCCCCGGAATCGAGACACCCACCGGAAAAGTGAGACCGAACAGCTGTGGCAACTAAAAATAGCAGGTAAAGTGCCAGTCGGGAATTTTTTTGCGCAATTGTGGGGGTGCGTGTCTGTCATAGAAAAGTATCCAAATCGATATATACAGGATATATATGTCGGAGGAAGCTAACACAGCAAAAAAAAAAAAAGGAATCGTTCCAATCATTGGCAGAATGATTAATTTGATTTCCTTGCTCATCAGAGTTTCGGCCGCGGGGGCGTATGAGTAATAAGCTGAAACTTTTTTATGACAGGCCCTGGGATGGCTGGGTAAATTATGGCAGCCAATCCGCCACCTAACTCTTATGATCTGCGCTGTCGTCGGCAATGGCTCCTATTCCTACTCCTGCGTAGGGCAACACCTGCGTCCCATTGTGGTCCTGCGGTTTCGTTTAGTCCGCGCACGTGACTGCGGCGTCCTGGCTGTGACTTGGATTTAGATTCATGACATTGTAATCGCTTATTACTGCTGCCAAACGGCAGTGAAAGTGGAAAGTCCCGAGGCAGGGTCCTCCGGTCTATATATATAAATGTATATTTAAGATGCTTTAAGTCGTCTCGGTTTTCACTTTGAACTCATTTATCTTCATTGGATTGATTTTATTTTTGTCGGGTTCTGGGTAAATTAGGAAACAATGTGATTGATCGGAAACTCGGTGCTTCTGCTCGGAGTGGCACAATATTTTCGTGATGGCTAAATCATGCGCCGATCTGGGAGGGCAAGTGAACATTACTATTTATTTTGGACAATTCGATATCCCTGCTTCGCCAAACTGACAACTTAAGCTTATTGAAATGCTATTGTTGGTATTTCTGCTTGACTTACCTTGTACAAGTCAGGGATCTATATCCTCGCAACCATTGGGCTCTTTTTATAGGACTTGCCGGCAGTTTGGTTTTTATTGTTTTGGCTGAATGCGAAAATAATCCCGGACTCTGGATTGCTGCTTCCGTTTTCTTTTTTCCGTGGCCTTGTCGGTCAGTTGGGACAATCGATAATCCTTTTCTTTTAAGCCAGCGTATCCTTTTGCCTTCTTTATTCGTTATTTGTCATTCGTTATGTACTTTTTATTTCCTTTTTAGGAGGAGGTGTTCACACAATTGCACACGCACACACTTGCTTGTATTTTCCATTGAGAAACCGTTTGGTTGAAACTGTTGGATTTTGTTGATATTTCATATATATCGCGTAACGACAAATAATTTCATTTCATTTTTTCAATCGCCCGCACTTTTCACAATTTCAGCTTCTATTTGATTTCTTTTTCAGTTGGTTTTTGTTGGTGGACTCCTTTCTTCCTTTTATGTTCTCTACATTTTTGTAATTTTCTGTTTGCGAAAATTGAGATGGTTTTTATTCATTTATGAAACGGACACGTTATGTTTATTTATCTTTAAGTAAAATGAATATTTTTATATTCCTCATATTATGTTCAGTTTGGTTCATTTTTCTTCAAACGAAGTTGTTAAATATGCACGTTTCTTTTTCTGTTAAATTGTGAATATTTACAATTCTGTGTTATTTTACTTTGTGTGTTTGGCAAAATAATAAATCAAATTCCGTCAAAAGGCTCTAAAAAACGTCAACTTACTGGCCTTAAATATTGATAACTTTTTAAGGAATGCTATTGAATGATGTTACAAATTAAAAAATAATAAAAGACTTTTAAGAAAGTAAAATCTTTATTTATTTAAATTATTAGTTGAATAATTATTTTTAGCCAATTTTAATTAAATCTCAACAAAAATAGCCTCCCATTTAGAATTATAATTACAATTTATACTAGCATTTCCATAAAATACTGCGTTTTAATCACAGCCATGGCCTTAGCTGACTTGAATGGCTTTTGGCAAGCAATTGAAACTTTTCGTTGCCTACTTTTTGGGGGTTACGGTGCTATTTCAGTTTCTGCTCCTGCTGCCTGGCTTAATTATTCCATCCACGGCGATTAAACTTACAAGAGCCTAATTGCATGCAAGGCATGCCACAACGGGACAAATACTCGTAAAAGCCATGCAACGCCAGCCTTTCAACCAAAATATAAAAACGCTAGCGTCAATGACCGCTAAGTGGAATGTGAGCGATGTGGCAAGCGTTATTTATACTTCAATTTTTTATTTATTTGGGACTCTGCAAACACTTGAGCGTCTGCCCTACGCAGAAATAAAGAAAGAAAAACGATGAAAAAATTGAGATGAGATGAGAAAAAGTATAAAATAAATAAAGATGGAGAAATGCCGTAGGGCATCAGACAAAGAAGACGATGACGCGGCTCCATAACGGATTCTGAGCATCTCGGGGCCATGGCACACATTTACATTCCCATCTATATATGTGTATGTATTTGTGTATGTGTACTTTGGCGTGGATTCGCTTTAATTTCTCATAGATAAAAGGACATCTTTGGTCTGAAACAGAAACACACTTTCAATTGCTCACATTTACGGCTTGTGATGATTCCCGCACACAGATACACTCCGGCACACGCACACACCGAAACGCAGAAAGGATGAGAGTAATGGACTCAGTACCGCTGCCACGTGCAACTTTCCGGCGCTAAAGCGATTTGGCTTGTGTCCACGACGCACGAGTGTATTCCAACGACTGAAGCCAGACTTCGTCGTTGGCCAGGCTTCAGACCTCGTCGTCGATGTGGGTTAAGCTCCTGAAAACCATACACTCTCTCTCTCTCTGATGAGAGAATATTATTCTGGAAGTGGAACGTATCCTGTTTCTCAAAGCTTTCGCTCTTTAATACAATCAGCTGTTTGCTCCACCTGCAATCGGAATAAGACAACAACAAAAAAATTAAAAACAAAACAACAATAAAGAATTAAGTCAATTTGGTGGCGTTTCTCTTTTTGTTTTCGTGTCCTCCCCCCATTAGCCCCGCCTCCTCGCCTTTGATTCTCGTTTCTACGAATTTTATGCCGTCGTTATTGCCGCAGTCACATGGCGACAGCCCCACTCAGTTTTTATTGGGGCAGGTAATGGTTGCTCGATGGCATTGCCTATTCGATGGCTAGGGCAGTTTTTTCTCGAATATTTCTATCTTGAATATAAATTAATAGGTAAATTCTTTAGTGTAGTTAAAATGAATTTTTAAAGGGATTTAGGGATGTATTTAATATGGAACGAGTAACAGCCATAGTCCTTTTAATAATTATTAAAATATTTCACAATCTATTAATATATTTTAATTTATCTTCTAAGTGTAAATCATCGTTAAACCAAAACGTAGCTAATATTTTTACCCTTCGATGAGAATCTTTCTTAAAGTCACAAAACAAAATCACGACCTATTTGATAAAGTTTAACCATATCTCTTAGTCCCGGATTCTTCATGCAGACACATGTCGGCAGACTGAAACGCTAACAAGACAAATCAGTTTACCAGTTTATCAGCAGTTTCCTGGCAGCGAAATCAGCAGCCACCAGCTCCTTTGTCATTGTCAGAAAAGCTGAGAAAACCAAAAACCGAAAACCACCCCAAGAGCAACAATGACAACTCCAATGAATGGCGACAAATCAGTTAGCTAAATGTTACCAAGACCAAGACCAGGACCAGGACCAGACGTGCGTGAGATTTGACCGCACTTGGTGTGATTCTATCATTGAAAATCCATATCCAAGGCGAAGGACAAGGCTTCTTCCACACAGGCTCCTGCCTGTCCAGAACATAATTGAAAGGCAAAGGCGGGCAGAGATGGCAGGCGTGGCATGGATGGGCGGAATGAAAAACAAGTGGAAATAATTCTGTGGCATAAATCATGGCACGCCAAGTTATTACAGTAATTTCATGATAAATGTCCGATAAATAAGTGAATAAATAACCATAGGCGCTGAGATGTCTAATGAAGCGGCAGTACAAATCAAGCTGAGTCCAACACTGCGTATGCGTGATCTCTGATGTCTCCTGTCTAATTGGATTAATGTGGGGCTGATGCACTCGTTTACCCAGTCTATGGTGAATTTTCAAAAATAACACACACAAAGGCTAATCAGATATAATTTATATAAAGTATATATGTACAACGGATAACTTTGAACGCCGCCCACACACAAAACATAAATCAAATTATTTTCTATTTAATTTTGGGCTTTCTTGCATTGACAAAAACCAAAAGCCGTGAAGCTTAGTTGTCGGTCCGTGGATTTTA